GTCTGCCTGTTGTTAATTCCATGTGGGACAATGCGTCGTTGTCTTTTCTGGATGCGGACGGGGCCGCTGCAGTTTTTCCATTTGTTTGTCTAGACCCTGGAGTCTAGACCAACAAAAGCGGGCAAATTCTCTTCCCTCTGTGTGTGTGTGTGTGTGTGTGTGTGTCTCTCTCTCTCTCTTACTCTGACGTACGCGTATTTTGCACTTATCAGTATTCGCAGCAGTGTCTCTCAAGCAGACAATTGTGTATAAAGCATACGAATATTAAGCATTAGCTATGCTATGGCCAGAGACGAAGCAGGAGAAAGTGCGTAATTGTTAAGAAGAGAGAAAGAGAGTGAGCTGGCAGATGGCATCTGGCAAATAGCATATGGCAATGCCATAAACAGCTGACAACCGTTATTTCATTGATTGCGGTTACAAACATGCAACCCGCTCTTCTCATTCCAGATTCCAGGGTGTAAGTGGAACCAACAACAATCAAAGAGACTCCTTAAAAAGCTTGAAAAAAGCTTTTTCCAGTTAGTCAACAAGTTGCGAACACCAGGACTAAACATTTGAAGAGAGCGAGAGAGAGAGAGAGAGAGAGAGAGAGAGAGTGGAGACCACTGTGCTCTGCTGTGAACTTGCTCTCACAAATTAACGGTGCTGCAGCGTTCCGTTCCCTTGGCTTTGTGTGCTTGAGGGTGTGAGTGTAATTTACACAAGACTAAAATAATACACAATTCATTTATAATTTTGGTCAATTGCAAAAACGTGCAACAATGACGTCGACGCGCTGCAATAATCGTAACAACAACAAATCCAACGATGTGCCAACTGATTGAATTGAGCGTCTGCTCTGTGGGTGCACCAGGGGGTTGTCGGTTGTGTGTAAGAGGCGGGCGGGTGGGCGTGCGGGCGGTTAGGCAGGCACCCGAGAGACCGAGACCTGTTGTTGGTTGTAGTCCAGCTATCTCCCTCTCTCTCTATCCCTCTCTCTGTCTCTACTTTTGCGTTCAATTGATAAAGTTTCAAACGCGTGTCTATTTATAACAGTGTATTTGATGCTTTTTTAACTTTCAGATGGGCGCTATTTTCGCGCATTTTGGTTAATTCGATTGCGGTTGCTCAATGCTTTGTTGGTGTTGGTGCTCGTTTTAGTGTTGTTGCTGTTGCTGGTCGCCGCGGCTTGCGCCTGCCCCAAAAAGCAAATAAACAGAAGAACAGCAATAGCTGGCGAGCGGGCAGCAACAATTACAAAGTTGAAAAGTTTAGACGCAAACGCACATGCACACGCACACGCACACAAACACGCACACAGGTAAATAGGTTGCAAAACGTACACTTCACGCCAGCTCCGCTCCGCTCCCTCTGCTGGGGCCACGGTGATGTGAAAATAATTTGGCGGTCGATATCCACGCATGTAGAAGTTTTAAAATTTATGTTTTATTGCTGACGTTATTTGTTTACACGCACATCTAGCATTTAATGTAACCGATGGACTCTGCTGACGCAGTAGCATCTATCTTCGTCCCGCCCAATGTTTAACAAATTGCCCAGATACACACATGCCAGATGAAGCCAAACACAGACTAAAACAAATCAAGTCCTACTACTAAAGGGTAGGGCAGTCCAAGAGTCCCTTTTCGCGTGTAATTAAAGAGTTGATGGGAAACTCAGCGATCGATCTCTTCCTCTCTTTCCGTACCTAATCTCTTTCGACACTCGAGCATCTTATGGGCCAGCAAACAGAGCTAGGAGCTCGGAGTGCCTTACCTTTTATTGCTATTTCTTGAGACAATCTTCCCGGCAGCTCAAACAGCTGCCATTCACTTAGCACCCGTAACTCTGCCTCTTACTTGCAGCCAGAAAACAGAAACAATGGCAGATTGCAACAGCCACAGCCACACCAACAGCCAGAGCAACAATTTTCGTATGGCATTAATTGAGCGTGCGTGCGGTGTTTGCCCACGCTTTATGCTCCAATTCAGTTGGTTAGAAATCGATTGCAGCAACAACAAAAACAAACAAAAGCCAACAAAGCCTCTCAAGTGAAGATGAAAGCTTAACCCCTACAATATTATAAGGTAATACAAGACTTCCTATCATTAATTGTATTCGAAACAAAATACAAATATTAAAGCTGAGAAACTGTGAACAGTTGTTCCACGAAATAAACCACTTTCGGGAGTACAATTACTATTTGCGCACATGCATATGTACTAAATCCATCAAACATGCTGCCATAAGAAATGGAAACCAAACCCCTTGAAGCACATATGTATGTACATAGATATGTATTTACATACATATGTACATACGAGTATGTACAAGAGTTAAGCAATCATTTGGTGCCGTGCCAACTGTTAACTGTTAACATTCAAGTGAAAATTGGTGAAAATACACACAAATGTCTCAGCAAGTGCCAAACAACAAAAACAAAAACAACGACAACAACAACAACAGAAGCTAATGGAGGCAAGCTTTCCAGTGAATTAACTCCCCCTGGAGATTCTCAGAGCTGCAGCCAAATCTAGATCCGGTTCAGCAAGTTTATCGCAAGCTAGTTACACTACCAATACAATCACGTTTATGCATGTGTCTGTGCATCACTCACCTGTGTAAACGCTCCGTCTGCTCGGCTTCGTTCTGCAACTCGTTGATGGCAAAGAGCTCCATCTCTCCGTTGCGGCCAAAGATACCATTTGGTATCTTGCGCAGAAATTTCTTTAAAACACTGGCAATGGTGAACACCGAATAGTTGTCGACATTGACCAGCCGACCCGCCTGGAGGAAGTGGATGAGCTTCTTCATGGCCCCCTGGTGGCCGGGAGCCCGGAATACGTCGCGACGGTTGGGCGACTCTTTGTTGAGCTTCAATATGAGCACGAGAAGCGGGGCTGGAATGTTGTTGTTGTGTTTACAAACCTCCTCCAGGGATACTCCGAATTTCACCTTCTCCAGGCGATAGGGATAAGCGGGCGCAGTCGCCGGGTGGCCGCAGGAGGTGACCACGTTGCCAAGATCGGCGGCGCGTCGGTGAACGCGTTCAGCCCAGCTGGACATTGTTCGTCGTGTTTAGGTACGACTGTGCGGTTTTCCCTGTATGCGTGTGTGTGTGTGTGTGCGTGTATGCGTGCGAGTTTTTCACAAGAAAAATGTGGTTTTCTTTCCACACAGCTTTGTTGAGATTTTATGGTTTTATGCTAGCCAAAAACATGTTCACTTAGCTGGAATGATAGTTGTTGTTGCTTTTTAATTTTGACTCTCGGTCTCTCCCGCACTCTCGCTGGCTCACTCTGGCAGCGGCTCTCGCAAAAATGCTTATACAGGAATTAATCAACAAAACGCAGCTTCGTTTGCCTCTGCTGCTTTTATTATTGTTGTTGCAGGTATTGCTGCTCCTTGGGCGTTGTTTGAGATTTATTTTGTTTTATGAAAATGTATGGTACGATATCTTAAGAGGTGTGCAGCACACAAACAAACACAAATGAATTTGGGTTGCTTTGATTAGAGACTTGATCCCTTTTTTTCACGCTTGCCACTCCTTTATGCATTTTTTTTTGCTGCTTCTCTTTAGACTGCGTTTCGGTTTTTTGCGTAGGCCAACGCCTCAGAACTTGGATAAGTGGTAAAAAAAAAAACACTTACATTTTCTATTATATCACTGAGCTCATTATTAACAATTGTTGTTAGTTTTAAATTAAATTTATAGCATTTATTCCTCACACGACTTTCTCGCACCCATTTACACCTTGCCCCTTGCGACGTTTTTGTGTGCGTCGTCAACGAATGTACAAAAAAACGTCAAACGCGTGACGTTCGGGATTTTGCGAGAGAGCTCATTTTTGCGTTCGATATAAAAACGATATATATCGACAGATGTTCGACGCACAGTGGGCCATAGCCGAATAGACGTGGCAAAAGTCATTTTTGACTGTATTTTTGAATATACGCATCGAATAGAGAATTTTTGGAAACTTCAAGAATGTCGGAAGTTTTGAGTGTACGAGCCTTCAAAGTTGTCTATTTTTCAGTGACTATTAATATACTCCATATTCAAACACATATATAAGTAGGAATAGGAAGTAAACTATCCTTCCAAAAGGTCCACTGTGCGACGGTGCGTTCAAGGTGGGTCACTATCACTCGGTCGATTGCATTGAAATCCCAGAGAAATCGATAATAGATACCTACTATCGACTCAATGGAAGGTTTTGGCTATCGATGTTTGAGCCCATCGGTAGTATGAATACTATCGAACAATTTTAAACTGCGAAGAAATAAACAATTTAATGAATAGCAAGTGAAATATTTCATTCATTATGGGCTTATATTATAAACCTTACTAGAATGTAAAAAATATAAGACATATTTTCATTGGTTCCACTAGAGCCAAAATTTTTTGATTAATTGAACAATTTTTGTGCGTCAAAAACTTATCTATTTCTACTTCTGATCTCCTATCTAGAAATACGAAATGCATCAATGCATTATATAAAATATGTTTACAATATGAATGTTCAATTTTCCCGCGCGATACTATCGATGGTGGGCGGAAACACTGATAGCCTATTCACACTGGTCACCTTCCCGCTATCCATTTCTGGGAAGGTCCGTAATGTTATGAAAACAATCCATGCAATATATCTCATATTGTGTGTTTTACACTAACACATGGAAATGCTCTGATGGGCTGGCCAGCTCATGATGGGCTGGCCAGCTCATGATGAGCTGGACCTAGAGCCGAAGACCTGGAACCCAATCTAGCAAATTCGTTTGAAATATATTCGGTGTATAAACTGATACATTTATATTCTGTATGATTAGTAGCTGAGTTTTCAACCATCGATAATTTCGATAACGCTATCGATTTTTTTCTCAACCAACCCTATTCCACATATGGAAAGATACGGTTGAAATAAAAATATATCAAGTATTCGTAGATTTTCATGTCGTTATCCATAATTCGTTGGTGAATTAATTTTGGGGCAGTAGCACATTTGTTTATCAGATTGCAGGGCGATAGGAAATAAGCAAACTCTCGCCTTTTACGCCTGGTCCAATTTTGTGTAAATGCAGCCCTGGCCAGATAATGCCACCCTGGGTTTTGTTTTGCAAAGTGGAATTGTTGCAAGTCAAATAACAATAACAATTTAACACGCATATACAAACGACTTTGTGTATATAAGTAAGTACATAAAGATAGCCACTTTTAATATTTGCAAGTAGTTTTTCCCCCAATTTGTTGCTTTCATTGTTTTGTTGTCTAAGGCGAAAGGTACCATTTTCAGCTAAATTTGTGTTCTGGATAAGCTGTCGTCGCCCTAATTGATTTCGAACCGAGTTATAGCATAATTTGGAAGTTTTATCTATAAAGCAACAACAACGGTATTAGTGAAACACTCATCTCTTATGTTTAAACATTTGTGACGTGCTCACCTTGAATTCGTTGTCATCGTCCCAGAGAACAGCAGATATTGACCCTGCTCACTAAAATATATATATGTACAAATGTACAAGCGTTGATCTACATATATTTTGGAAACTTTAATGTACTACTGACCACTGTATGCATACGCGTTAATAATAACGTTTTTTCTCAATAGAGCGCGGCGATAATTGCTAGGCGAACAAATGACCACCGCTGCCTCCACATCGCAACATGCCTCGTCGACGATGATGGCCGGCTCTGGGTCCTCCTCCTCCAACACAACGACGCCCAGCAGCTCGGCGGTGCGCGCTTTGGCCATGGAGTACAAGTCATTGCAGGAGGAGCCGGTCGAAGGATTTCGCGTAAAGCTAATCAACGACGATAATCTATTTGAATGGGAGGTCGCCATATTCGGGCCACCGGATACACTCTACCAGGGCGGCTATTTTAAGGCCCACATGAAGTTTCCACACGACTATCCATACTCGCCACCAACAATACGCTTTCTCACCAAAGTGTGGCATCCAAATGTCTACGAGAATGGCGATCTATGCATATCTATACTGCATCCGCCGGTTGATGATCCGCAGAGCGGTGAGCTGCCATGCGAGCGCTGGAATCCCACACAGAATGTAAGGACCATTCTCCTGTCGGTAATATCACTTCTCAACGAGCCCAACACATTCTCACCGGCCAATGTGGATGCATCGGTTATGTACCGCCGATGGCGGGATTCGCAGGTTAGTAAAGCACGATTCCCACACTGAATCGATAATATTCAATTATTTACAGGGCAAGGACCATGATTATCCAAACATCATACGCAAACAGGCCTTGGCCGCCAATGCTGAGGCCAAGCGAGAGGGCATTGTTGTGCCGATGACCCTTGAGGACTATTGCCTCAAGCCAGCACGGAAGCCCACAGCAGATTCTGCCTTGGATGCCAACTTCTATGATGATGACTTTGATTTAGAGACCGAGGATGATTTACCCACAGATGATGACGATTTCGATGAGGACGAGGACGAAGATGAGGGTGAGGGCGAGGGCGAGGATGATGACAGTGCATCGGCATCGATTAGCAAAAATAATGGGAACGCTAAGAGCAAGAACAATGGACTGGCAGTCGCAGATGATGCAGAGTCTGCCGATGACAGCGGCAAGGGCGAGACCACATAATGCAGCCATGCACCGATAGATCGCATCATTTCTTCTTCCTCCCACTCCTGCCCTAGGCGACGAGCCACCGCCTCTTCATTTCTCCAACATTATTACTATGATTAACGCTAATTATAGAAGTTTAAAAACTAACAAAAAAAACGTAGAAATCAAACAGAAAATGAAAAAAATGATTTACATTACATAGTTTAAACGGAATAACTTGGATTCGCCTTGATTTTATATTTTTTGGAGGGTTCGGCAGACAAGAACAATGGCCTGGCCCCACAATAATTTTAGCTACTCAATTCGGAAGGATATCGGTCTGATCAATGACATACTAAACCTAAGATTTGTATAAGCTATTAGTCTAACGGGCCAACTCAATTTCCCGCCATTAATAGAGTCCAGAGGCCTTTCCATTTTTTTTTTTCTATTAATGTGTTAACAAAACCACAGCAAACAGAACATTTACATAACTCAGACAAAAACTGATTATGATTAAACAAGAAACTATACTGTGTACTGCATATACAGATATGCATACGTGCGCCTGGTATAAATTAACATTTATGCGATTTGATGCACATACAAGTATGTACGTATATTGTGAAATACTACCTTCATTTTCATGAGCAAACTGCAACAACTGTCGTGGTCGTGGAGGCGAACATCCTACATTCAATACAGAGAGCGCCAAGCTAAATCACAAATATACATACATGTACACATAGAAGGCAACATATATTGAACAATCAAAGGATTTCATAAAAGCAAGCAAAAATGCAATGTAGAAGTTAAGCCATTTGTAAGTGGAAAATTAGCAAAGAGTAAATTACATATTTGACAAGAGCGGCAACAAGAGCAAAATATAAACGAAAACCACATTGTGTAAACAAAAACCGAATTGCAACAAAGATAAATAAGCCAAATAAAATATCTAAAAAGAAAATTAGATCGTGTTTGAGAGCCCCGAGAATGGTTGTTTATTCGCTTTGTCGATTTGATAATTTATATTTGTGTGACCAGCTTAGCCCGTTTCCGCCATGCCAGAAGCGCCGGCGTCAGATCCTTGTCGGTAATGGCTGGAATACGTATCAGCGAGCTATAGACACCGATATCAGCTACAGACATCTGGGAGCCACCGAAATATTGCTGCTGCTGCAGACGCTTGTCCAGTAGCCTCACCATGGCTACTTGAGCTTTGTGGGTGCTGCAGCGCAAGAGCTGATAGCAAATGTCGAGGACGAGATCGATCTCATTGCAGAGCGGAGAGCCCTCGTAGCGATATTCGACGGGTCCCACACGGCCCAAATACCGAATTACATTCACTTCGCCATAAATGGGCACATACATGGTGGGTGAGCTGATCATCTCCGTGTGCTCGCCTGTCGAAAGACACCCCCAAGATAAGTATAGTCAGTGCGTGTCCATGATCAATTCGCTTACAGTTTTTCCAAATGAGAGTTACATTGATATTGGGCAGAGCATTGTTCACTGGAATCTTGGCCAGCTTTGCCTCAAATTCACGAGCTGCCGGTCCAATGTCCGCCATGGTCGAATGTGTGAAGGTCTTCACATTCACCGTGTACAGATCCCTCCAAGCATTCTTCAATGCCAACAGTGCGTAGGGAATGAAGTTGGGATGACCATTGATTACAATGTCTTGGAGTGGCACCTGCGTGGGGTATTTATGTTAGGTGTATTCGGTTTTATTCTGGCCAATCTTAAGCTGCCACCAACCTCTTTTAGTCCACCGTTCTGGTAGGCGGTTGTGTGCTGCACCGTCTTGCCGCAAACGCCTAGATCAGCTCGAATTTTTCCCAACTGCGCCTTGAGCGCTTCGAGTTGCTGGAGAACTTTCTCTTGGCGCATTGCTATCGATGCCGTATCGTCCTGCTGCAACGGAGACACAGAAGATAGATAACATCATTATTTGGGAGTCGAGGTCGACGTTGAGACCAGACACTTTGTCAAGATAATGACAGCATGTGGACCACAAGAAAACAGCAAGCAACACAAAACGCAGTGGCACCATATTCATTGGATTTTTTTGGTTTCGGTTAGTTGGTAATCATTATAAATAGAATATCGGATTTATTAGTTGTAGTTGTTGTTTTAACCTTTAGCAGATGTTGTATTTGTCGGCCTAAAATGTCCAAATCAAGAGCACATGTGACTGAATTTCTTGAATTGATGCTGCTGCTGAACTCCGATGCGCTCTGGAAAAGCCTGAGTTGACCCTTCTGATAAACACATTGGGAAATGGAAGGGATGGCGTTGTTGACTTTCTTTCGTAAACCATTTGAATATAAATCTTTGAAAGTGTTCTTGCCAAATTTTGATTGGCAATTGACTTACGCAGCCGCCTGATGATATGGAAGTGGCAGGGTCAGCCGACAGGCTAACGTTCTTGAGTTCGTACATGCAGGTGGGCAGCTTAATGTCGAATTGCGGCAATAATGTTTTCAATTCGTACATTTCACTATCAAAATCGAATAAACAGAACACTAAAAAATTTGTGAAATGTGCTTGCTTCCAGAGATGGGAAAAAACACAGTCCGCAATTCAAAACATCGATAGTTCGCTTCGCATGCGATATCTTTATTGCTACAGTCGATAGCATAATATTTATTATTACGGCTTCTATTTATTTTAAATTGAATTCTAAGCTTTCTGGGCCTTGGGTGGCACCTTCGGGAGCCGCTTTATTCTCTTATCAACAATATGCCTAAGACGCCTATCAGGCTTCACCAGTTCACTCTCATCCATTGGCTCAATCACCTGGCCCTTACGTGTGATGACTGCAGGACGTGTCAGCATTCGGAAGGCCGTCTCTGGAACAAAGTTCCTGCCAATGGGCGCCCGAATGCTGGCCTCGTAGTCGGCCAGAGATCTGAAGGGGAATGGTACGCTGGACACCATGTGCTGCCGTGCCTGCTTGGTACTTGTCTCGTTAATGAAGAGATTGTCCTTGTTGTCATCGCGCCGCTTTTCGGGAGCAGCCAGTTTGAGCAAGAGTCGCTTATTGCGTCTTTCCATGACCTCGTGAGATATCCCAGCACCAGCCCAGGAGCCCCATCCTGGCATAGCCAGCTGGAGCTCGGTGTTTTTTAGTTCAGAGTCCTTGGTCTTGTCCCTATTGAAGTCGGCTATAATGTCATCGTCTTCGAAGGCCTGACTAATGGTCAACTGATGCTCCGCCGCAGCATCTTCCTCATCGTATTCAGCCTCATCGTCGTTCACTAATGCATCATTGAGTGCACCTGAACTACGCTTCTTCTGCGTCCACACTAAAGTTGCTACATTAGCGAGGTCAATGGTGTCCACAGCTGAATCCACTTTAGCTTCCGGAGCACTCTCCAGAATGGCGGCGTCTACTTGTTGCTGAGGCTCATCATCGTGGTTTAAAGGCTCATCAATTTCAACACGTTGTTTTGTCTTTTTAATGGCCAAATCCTTGAGGTTTTTCAAGCTATCCTTCTTCTTTTTCACCTTCTTGCTTTTGGCAGGAGCTGCTTTAAGTCGATCAGTTCGCTGCTGCAGACTCGCTAGTCTTTTGGTCAGCTTTGCCCTCATTTTCTCTTCGTGTGCTTCAAATATATCGTCAATTTTGCTCTCGCCTCTTACATTGGTCTCAGGATCGACTTCCTCTACTTCCCAGCCGTTCTGAAAAGAAACTTTTGGCTTTTTGACCTTTTTCTTCGATGGTTTCTGTTTGGGTTCCGATTTTAATTCCTCTTCTACGTCAGAGTCCTCCGCAGGCTTCACATCTTCTAAATCATTACGATGTTCCTCCAACAACTTCGTATTCTGATTGCGCTCTGTCCAATATTTGCGCCAATTGGGATCCTCACTAGCTGCCTTTTGTGTAGGAGCTTTTCCGGCCACTTTTTGCTTTGTCCACGGGTTAAAAGGATCATAATCTTTTTCCTCCTCTTCGTGAGCAGCTGGCTTAATATTCAGTTCGGTTTCGCTATCCGATTCTTTTTGTTTCTGCGTCAGCTGTCGACTGACGGCCAGCTGCTCGGCGAGGTCCTTACGCACATCCTTGTCGTATTTAGCTCGCACTTGCAAGTTCTTGGCCCATGTGCCGGTGTTCTTGTGCCTCAAGCTGGCACGCTCCTGGACGCGAATCTTTTCCATGGCATTCAGCTTTTCCAGCGCCGCTTCCGGATTGGTCTTTTGCAGGAGCTCGAACTCCTTCATCTGCTCGAGCATCTTTTGACGCTTTTGCAGTTTGTGAAATTTCTTCGACTTGATTTTGTTCTGCATGCGCGCCTTCGCTGACTTCTGGGACTCGCGCATCTTCAGATAGGCCAATTCCTTGCGACGGGCAAAAAGCTCGTCGCGAGTGAGCTTCTTCTGTAGCAGATCTCGCTCCTGTTGCGCCAAGACCTTCTCATCCGAAGTGTCCCCAATTTGTGCTTTGCGAAGCTCGTGGAGTTTCTGCTTGCTGGCTTCCAGCTCCTTAGCCAAATCAGACTGAATGCTCGTCTTCAGTGGCTTGGCATGGGCCGCTGTGTTGACATAAATTGTTTCCGAGGGTATCGGAAAGATCTGAAATATTTCGTTTTATGTCTTGGCCATTTCATCATAGATCGCATGTTACCTGGGTCTCTGCCGAGCGCTGTTGGGCCACCACAGCATCCCATCGACCGAGCTTCTTAGTGACTCCCTCATAGCCAATGGTGCGCCTAATGCGATCCGCTGCTGGCTTTTCCAGCGGCTTCTCCAACACTTTCTTGGTGCTCTGGATATTCTTGAGCTTCTTGCCCGTTTGAGCGTGCTTGGAGGAGGTACGCAGTATCTGCACCAGATCATTCAGCCCAACGGCCCTGGGTTTGTGCTCCGACGCCGCTGCTCTCACGCTTTTCACCAGCTGAAACTCATCCTGACGCGTCTGGCGCTCGTCTCGTGTGGATTTCTGTATGTGCTGGACACTTCCCAAGCTGCCAATGGCCGTAAGAAGCTTCTTGTGAGCCTTTGGATTGTAGTGCTCCTCATCGTCACTCATATTTTTAGCCAAACTAAATTAACGCACAAAAAAATTATAGTACCACGAGGTATTCAAATCAACAGCTGACTTACTATCGATGAATGTCGCACAACCAAACTATCGCTTCGGAAACACTATCGTTTCGGAGAAATTATCGTTTCGGAGAAACCGGGCTATCGATGCGATTATGAATTAATTTGTATGGCCATGGCCGACACAAAATCTGGGAGATATGCCAGTGCCGGCAGCAGCAATAGTGTTGTGCCCCTTGTGCAGGGGCCGGCGAATCTGGAGTGCAAGGACTTCCAGGAGTATCTTCGCACTCGCCAGACTGCCGAGACGCTGGAGAAACTATACAATTATCCGCCGATTTGCCTAGCCGTGTTCCGGGAGCTGCCCGAACTAGCCAGACAGTTCATTATACGAATTTTATTCGTGGATCAGCCGGTGCCACAGGCTGTGGTCACCTCCTGGGGGGCCCAGCGATTTGCCAAGTGAGTTGGAGAAACCGCGGCGATAAGCCTGCCAATCGACGCTTTAGTAATTCAATTCTTTTGCAGGGAGCAAACCGAGGCCACCAGCTGCCTCTCGGATCTAAATGTTTGGCGTGTGACGGCCATACCAGGCGGCCTGTCTGCATGGGAGCTGTCACCCACATTCAAGAAAAGCGTTCGCCAGGTTCTTTTGGGCGGCGGCAAGCCGTGGCCGATGACCAATACACTGGAGAAAGACTCGAAGCCACGTGACATAGCCTTCCTGGACTCCTATGCCATGTCGCGCTGGCGCTGTGTGCTTCATTACATGGTGGGAACGGGAAACCGTAATGGCACCGATGCAGAAGCGATCAGTCCGGATGCTGTGAGGATTCTACTCCATGCAAATCTCATGAAGCGCGACGAGCGAGACGGAATTACAATCACCCGCCAAGGGTTTCAGTTCCTGCTGCTGGACACACGTGCACAGGTCTGGCATTTCATGCTCCAGTATTTGGATACATGCGAAGAGCGGGGAGTATCTCTTCCGGAGTGTCTTTCCATGCTGTTCCAGCTCAGTTTCTCCACCCTCGGTCGAGACTACAGCTCAGAGGGCATGAACAGCCAGATGTTGTCCTTCCTGCAGCATTTGCGCGAGTTTGGTTTGGTTTTCCAGCGGAAACGCAAGGAGGGCCGGTTTTATCCCACTCGTCTTGCCCTAAACGTGACCAGCAAGGAAGCGGCTACCACAATGACAGTGTCAGACGAGGAGGCCATGCAGGACAGTGGCTACATTGTGGTAGAGACAAACTATCGCGTCTATGCCTACACGGATTCTCCTCTTCAAGTGGCGGTCCTGGGCCTGTTTACCGAGTTGCTCTATCGCTTTCCCAACTTGGTCGTGGGCGTGCTCACCCGCGACTCTGTGCGTCAGGCATTACGCGGCGGCATCACCGCAGAACAGATTGTCTCCTATCTGCAGCAGTACGCCCACCCCAACATGAAACTAGTGGAGTCGGCCATCCAATCAAAGTCCTGCCTGCCGCCCACCGTTGTGGATCAAATCAAGCTCTGGGAGATGGAGCGCAACCGGTTTACATACACGGAGGGAGTGGTCTACAATCAGTTTCTCTCCCAGAACGATTTCGTCACTCTGCGCGACTATGCGCAGTCGATCCATGTCTTGGTTTGGCAGAATGAGCGCACTCGCACCATGGTGGTGCAGAAGCATGGTCACGACGATGTCAAGCGCTATTGGAAGAAGTATTCGAAGGGTGGCGGTTAGCCGCTCGCAGTACCAGTTTTCAGTAACATAATTTCTAGGGTACGGGGTTTAATATAATTCAATAAGAGGGAGAGATAAAAGCGATACCGATCTAAGATACGATATATGTACGTATAAAGGTTTACATGTATAAGAGAAGAACGCAGCGGCGGCTGTTGTACACAAACTCATATTAAAATTAAAACAACACATGAAACCACATAAAATTTTGACGCAAAATCATCCTTAAATGCAAATATAAAAGCTTCGATCCCTGGAGCTCAGTACAAAATCGGTCTCTGGGGCATGCAGAGGTTGTAGTAGCTGCCTTTACTCCAAAAGTCCATGCTCTTCCAGCCACACCAGCCCTTGATTTGGATAGTTGCCAGTTCATCGGCTCCCGTGTAGTGGGGATCGAGAATTAGGAACTTCACTTCGCCTGATTGTACGCAATAATCGACTCCAATGATGGTGTGGGCAAGGACACCGCCGCCAATCATTACCGGTGTGCCTTGGGTCTGGAAGTGCATGGCCAGTTCGGATGCGATTGTGGGGAGCTCCGCTCCAGAGGATACATGCAGAATTTTGGAGTCCACTTTAAGAAATCCCTGCAGGCACATGCTGATCTCTGTTGAGCCAATCCACTGGGAGGAACCCACGAAGGAAGACGGCTTGTCGTTTATTTTGTGCAGGTACTTCTGTACCTCCAAATGTGTTGGAATGGGTGCATTCGTATAGCCCTGTAGCACGAACCACGAGCAGATGGTCTGCAGAGATCGATAGGCACAGCCCCAGCCCTTATCCTGCACCTGCTGTTGCAGATAGTGATAGTAATGATAGTTGCCGTTGACTAGGTACTCCTTTCCATCGGTGACAGCACTGGGCCTGACACCCACATGGGTGTTTAGGAGTGGAGTCCATGGAGCATCATCGACCTCACCCTGAAAGTGGCACTGGTTTGCTCTTCTGAAGTACGGACGTGTAACAGGCAAAGAAAACTGACGATGGAGTCGCTTGCGTCTCTCCTGCATGATCGGCTCGTCGTCGCCCAGCCCCTCCAGATAGGCGCAGCTCAAAAAGTGTCCAAAACCCTGCGGATAGAAGTGATGGCTCCGAGGAACCGCAAGACTTCCACCCTCCGACTCTGCCAAATGCTCGTTCAGGCTTTGCTCGAACAGTCTGAGAGCGCGGCAAATGCTCTCGATGAGCACATCGTACAGTCGTTGCAGCTTGGTGTTCTTGCAGAGCATAGCCATGGCCTCTATCTCCAGTGGGACCTGAGCTCTGGTCTGCTCTTCTGTGGTAACCGCAATACTAAGAGCAGGATGTGGCGGAGAGTCTCGAGCTTGGAGGTCACGAGTTCGAATACGCATCACGTCAATGTTGATTAGGTCGTATTCACATCCAGTGGCCCCAAAGTGTTTGGCCAGCTGGGTCTGAGCCGCTGTCTTGGACTTTTTTTTATCGGCGACCACATTCTCCTTGCCACTGGGGATGGGAATGGCTTGAACGAGATCGTTTATTCGGGATTCACCTCTAAGTTTATTGTCCATGGGTCCGCAGCTGTGGATGTAAATGTTTGTGTGTGGCACCTTGAACACCAGGTTGCCGTCAGCTACACGCTTTCGCAATACATGCATCTCCTTTGCCACACACTCAGGCGTGGCAGCTGTTTGCAAGTAAAACCCACATTGCAAACGCGTAAAGCAAAAGTCATTGTAGAGCTGTTCACTGTCCATGACATCGTAGGGGACCTCCTCCAACTTGCCGTGCACAAAGAAGGAGGCACGCATGCCCACCAAGGTGCCCAGCTCGCATTTTAGCAATATGGGATTGTCTGTTATGTCCACCGATTTGATGACCTCATTCAGATGCGCTTCGGCATCCGTGCAGTCACCGAACTTCACCAGGCCGCAGAGATCCAGTTCGGCAGGGAATCTGTGCTGGATTTGCTCATAGTTTAGCTGCCCAACATTTGACAGGTTGAAGCTAAGCAGAAGTAGTGTGCCGTCACCATAGAATACTCCGTATAAACAACCACTGCTCTGTTGCTTGACGCGTTCCAGCCGCTGCAACACACGCACAAGTTTAACAATCAGGCATCTCTAAAGTTTTCGAACCTCTTACCTTGAGTAGGAAGGCAGAAATTTTTAGTTTGGGCAGCATACTATATTTATTTTTTGACAATTGAAGACTTAAAATGAAAATGTTGCAGTTGTACAGCTGGCAACTTGGGAATCGATAACAGCCACCGATAACTATCGATGAAGCTAAAGTAACTAACAAATACAACGAAAACAAAAACAAAAAAGCTATTTGTTTGTTTTAAGAATTTTAATGACCTAAATCGGAAGGAAAACCAACTATTAAGGAAAAACGAATCTTTCTTTATATTACACACACACATAACATTTATTTATATTGAATTAGGCATAGTGTATAGATTCGCAAAAGTTTTTATAAATATTACCTGCGTAAGCAGACCTCATCCTCTTTCCATGCCCTTCGCTCGAACTGACTGTTGTTTTCGTTTTTGTTTGTTCATTATCATCCAAATATGGTTAGGTCTATCAATGTTACACATCTATTTACAATACATAATTGCGTGGTGACTCTTTGTTTGCGTTAATCGCAACATCCTATTGTGGTTCTCTCGTTTCATTTTCGTTTACAATATTCAGAGTTTTAAAGCAGTTTTGCTTTCCTTATTTCGACTCCTTCCTTCGGTTACGTACGACATACGACTACACTCTACTAGTTTTCCAAATTTTCTAATTAATTTCATTGCTAAAATTGTTTTGCGAACAAAAACAGGCTTACTTCGAAAAAATGTTAAAACGCAATCCTCGTTATGCATACAGTGGGGAGCAAAGCTGAGTACAAGCTCATAATCACAGACTTTCGACGCCCATAGCAGCCCAACAAATAAAGCCACGCAAACAAACTTTTTTCCCTATCCAAATACTTGAATTCTTAACAAACAAGCAATACAAGAACGAATACAAACTTCTAAATAATGAAAAATAAAAAATCAAAAAAGCTCGCATGTATTACTTTTGCATTTTTTATAAAAATTAAAGAAAATCATAATATCAACATTTTGTGCATAGAACCTCTCAAAGAGCCGAACTTAATCCGATTGAAAATCTATGGTCAATCGTGAAACGACGGCTTGGGCGGTCCGAATCAGCGCCATCTAACCTAGGCGATCTCTGGGGACGTGCAGATGCGGAATGCAATCGTATTCCAAAAGATATTTTTGGGAATTTGATAGAGAGCTTTCCAAACCATATTAAAAAAGTAATATCTAATATGGGTCTATGCACAAAATGTAAATATTATGATTTTCCTTCGATTTTATAAAAAGTGCAAAAGTGAGTAGGTGCGAGTTGTTTTGGTTTTTTATTTTTCATTCTTAGGAAAATTCTTATTCGTTCTTGTAATTATTGTTTATTTGTTTAGAGTACAAGTATTTATATGGGGAAAAAATTGTGTTTGCTTGGCTTTATTCGTTTGGCTGCTATGGGCGGCAAAAGTCAGTGATTATGAGTATGTACTCACTTTTGCTCCTAACTGTATGTTGAATTCCTGCGGCTGCTCCTTCCCTGCCACTGCCACTGCCACTGCCAATGCTGCGTTCCACTCACTAGTTGGGCCGACAATTAAGACAAACATTTAAACACTAAATTTAAAACATAAGCATCCGCACCCACATCCACCGTTTCTCTGGCGCTACTTCCTTTGCTTGGCGGTGGAAGTGGCTGCAGTTGTGGGAGCTTCGGTTGCTGTCTCAGCCGTTGGCTCCTTGCGTGGTGCTGTTGATATGGTCAGACTGGGGCTGGCCGGCTTTGTCGTTGTCATCGAAGTTTTACAGCCACTGCTCATGGGCTTGGTTTTGGCAGAATCTAGTACAGATTTAACTGAAACAAAAGCAGCTTTGATGCCAACAGGTCCGCATCATTGATAGTGGAAAAAGCTCTTACCCAACTCAACCTTCTTGGGCTTTCCTACAGTCTCCCGCTCCTGCTTGTTGCCCTTCATCTTCTCCGGCTTCTCCAGGGTCTGTGTGGGTGACGATGACTCCCCCTCAGTGTACTCCTCTATGGCGGGCATAAATCCCTCGGACACACTACTGCTGTCCTGGGTGCTGGTGGGTGAATCCTTCTCCTCGGCAATTCGGGGCAGCAGCTCGCAGCTGGCCAACGTAACGACGGCGGACGAGCTTGGATCAGCGCCAGCCACTGCTGGGGCACCAGCACCAGTCCCTGCCACGGACTGTCTTTGTGATTCCTCAGTTGAGGGAACCAGCTGTTGTGGCGCTGTTCCGTTGCCTCCTGTTCCGACTACTCCTCCGCCAGGTGCTGCACCATTGCCCCCAGTGGGTGCTGATGTTGATCTCCAAGTGGTGGTCACCACCCGCTGATGACTTGGTTGTTTGATGGGCGGCGAGCAGCAGAGAGGCGAAATCTTTGTTTCGGCACTGCGGGGGTGCAGTCGGTCCGGCGACAAGGCGCGACGCAGCAGAGGAGAACTCGGTTCGGCCGACTTGGTCCTAGCAAAGCCACCCTTCTTGGTGTTGGCATTCACCGCCGTCTGCAAGGTGGGCAGCGTGCTCCCCGGACTGTACGATTGCGTGGTATTGGAGGCCCCCGGCTGATGACCGACCAACGGAAAGGCCAGCGGAGACGGGGACCGCGTAGGCGACGACGGCAAAGGCGAGGGTGATGGTGTGCGTGCCAGTGGGGAAAGCGGAATGTGACCAACAGATTTCCTACGATTTGGCAGCGAATTGTTGCTCGAGGTGTGCAAGGTCTTCAGTCCGCCGGAGGGATTGCTGGTGCTGTTTCCACCTGCAATCACGGCGGTGGCGGCATGAAGCTTGTGCTTAAGACCATGTAGAGTAGATGGACGTTGATACAGCTGCGGAACGACGCCGGTGGGAGAAACTAGAAACACACAAACAAATTGGAGTATATTTCTTCTGGAGCATGTTTGTGTCTAATTGTTTATAATTTTCCTTGGGAAAATCGCACTCACCAGGGACATTTCCCACAGAGGTGGGGCTACTGCCGACAGCAGCACCCACATGTGGGAGCAGCACCACCTGCGCAGGGGGCTGGGCCAAGGGCAATTGCACGCAGTGAGCTGATGGTATAGCCGGGGCAGCGGCAGCGACAGATGCAGATCCACCACTAGCACTGTTCGAGCCCCCATTGCCACTGGTGGCTGTGGGCGTGTTGGGCGACGAGGATGAGGGTGAAGTGGACTGTGACGAGGAGTTTGCTGCCGACTGGCAGCAGCTGCTGCTGTGATACGAAGAGTCTAGTGGCGACAGGTTCCTGGCCGATGGAGTGGTGGGTGAGCTGGTGCCAGCGGAAAACTGTCGGGAGAAGGTAGAAGGGAAGGGAGAAACATAGGTTGGATTAGCGGATACTTGATGGTTCTCTTGATGATGACTCACATGACTCACCTGCTGCATCTCCGCGTTCGCACGTTTGCTGCTTATCCGGCGGAACAGCGAGGTTTTTCGCTTCTTATCGTGCTCCCGTTTGGTTTGCTTCTTCTGACGATTCAAGCCCTTCTTGGCCAGCTTGCTCTGCATTAGATCACGCTTGCGGCCGCCGCTCTGTATGCTGGTGTGCTCCAGCGGTGTGGCCCTCAAGGTGACGTGCTCGCCTCCGCTGAGGAGCAGCTGCAGCACCTGCGTGTGAAACAGGCCCTGCACGGCCTCGCCATTTACATGGGTGATGAGATCTGCCGGCCGTAGGCCAGCCTCAAAGGCCGGACTGCCCTCGTCCACGGCCATGACGAGATGATGCATCGTATAGAAGTCCGTGTCGCCATAATAGACGCGTATTGTGTGGACAGTGAAGCCAAAACCTCGAGGGCCGCGTCGAATAATGATCGGAGGCTTCAGGTTGGTCACCAGCGGCGACAGCTCTCGACACGGGGACGTATCCCTGGAGCTGGCCGTGCTGGAGCCATTGCCTCCTCCACCTGGTGACTGAATTCCACACAGCTGTGCGGCCAATTGACTATTGTCCAGGGACGTCATCAGAGACAGACCCAAGGCCGAGGCGGACTTGACAATCGATCTCGAGCGATGGTGCTTCATGCTGCCACTGCTGGTGCCGTCCATGGACTTGGGCTGGTGCTGCAAGGCCAGCGGCGATTGCTCTCTTGGCAAAATCATGTTCTCAGTCGACGAGCTGCCCGCTGAGATTGTCTCATCCTCAATGGAAATGGAGAAGCGCGGCAGTATATCCCGAGCGCAAACTCCTTTCCGCTTGCGATTGATCTGCGGCGAGAAGTCGTCGCTGTCCGTCTGCGAGCTCTCCGGGGTGCTGCGGGAGAAGCTGCCCACCGTTGTCGCTGCGGTTGCGGCGGCGGCGACGGCTGTGACTGTCGCTCCTGCTGCCGCCTGGCTTTGGGTCTGAGTAGCTGGCGGAGGAGTGGCCGGGGTACTAATGATGGTTGTGTTGGTGTTTGGTGGCATGCTGTGCCGTTGGTGCAGCCGCTGCGTGACAGCCGGTGTCGGCTGCTGCAGATAGTGCTTGAGCATCCGCAGCTCAGCATCGTTGCCAATGGTGACGTTGTGCAACAGTTCGGGCAAATAGTCCGCATCTGGGGTAGACGGCACCTTCAGGCAGCTGGAGGAGAGCTGAAACGAAGCGAAAGAAATGCGATTGCTGCAATTCGGAACGCCTTGGATATTTCTTCGTAAAAAGCTCACATCCAGTTTACGCAGTTGTGGTGTATTCAAGAACTTGTTGACAGCTCCCTCGTTTGATGCTGCTCCTGCCCCCGTTCCCGTTCTGAGTTTTGGCAAGGCACCTGTCGAGGTGCTGGCCGCTGCCGCTGGCATTGGCATTGGCATTGCCTGGGCACGGGACGGCAGGCAAGTCAGGGTGGGTGGTGGTGGTGGTGTGGCCTTCGCCTCATCAGCTGCAGTTGTTGACGTGGATGTCGCGTGGCGGGACCAGCTGTAATGCTGTTTTCTGTATTGCGGCGTATACGAGTTGAAGCTGCCGAAGACGGGAGTGTCGTCCGTGTCATCTGTGTCCTCCCCAGCCAGATCATGGTTATAGCGATCCATGCGAGCTGTTTGAAGAGAAAGAATATCATTAGCGATCCTTTAGCGATCAGATTAGTTGAGCCCTAAATTATCAGCGAAATATACTATCAAAATAGCTGGTATCATCCTCATGCGAGAGCTGAGGAACAAACTCGGCTTTTTGGCGCAGCAACGAATTCCAGTCCATGCCCAGGAAATACACATGCTCCTTCATCTCCATGGCGCCCGTTTGGGTGCCCAAACGGTCGCGCGGGTTCTGCTGCAGCAATTGCGTTATGATGTCCTTCGCCTCCGACTGCACCGGCCAGTCCTCGCTGTCCGGCCACTCTATGTCGTCGTTGACAGTATGGGCAAACAGTTCCTCGGCCGTTTCGCCAAAGAAGGGCACACAGCCGATGAGAAACTCGTAGAGGATGATTCCCATGGACCACCAGTCGACGGGCTTGCCATAGCCCTGTCTCAATATAACCTCCGGGGCAATGTACTCGGGTGTGCCGTACACCTGAAACAAAGAGCGGATGGATCGGTTGGGGTTGTATTTTGAAGCTCTCTTTTTGGGGGCTACCCTGCTCACCTGCTTATCGGAAAACTGTCGCGTCTCCGAGTCAATATAGCCCTCGTACAAGTTGGTTGCCAGCGACATGAGGCCCATCTTGGAGAGGCCGAAATCGGTCAGCTTGATGTGGCCCAGGGCTGTGATCAGCAAGTTGTCCGGCTTCAGGTCGCGATGGACAATGCCATAGCTGTGCAGATACTCCACGGCTAATACTGTTTCGGCAAAGTAGAACCGAGCCATGTCCGCCGGCAGCGGTCCAATGTTCTTCAGAAGGGTGCCGCAGTCGCCGCCCTCCACGTACTCCATGACCAGGCACAGGTGTTTCTTCGTTTCGAACGAACAATACATGCTGACCACAAAGGGGTTGTCGGCAAACGACAGTATGTCCCGCTCGGCGAACACCTGCTCCACCTGGTTGCGCAAAATGAGATTATTTTTGTTGATTTTCTTCATGGCGAAGCGTTGACGGGTCGTCTTGTGCTTCACCAAGTAGACGGCTCCGTAGGCACCATTTGAGATCAGCTTGGCAATGTCAAAGTCATTTTCGTGTGGCAATAGCTGTGTGCCTGCGCCAGTGCCAGTGCCAGTGCCAGATCCCGATCCCGCACCTTCTCCCGCCTCGTTCAGCTGACTAACCGCCAAGGCGAAGCTGGGAGCAGGCTGTGCGTCGCACGCAGCCACTGGCGTTTGTGGCGGCTGCTGTGGCGTACTAGTTCCACTGGGGTGGACGGGATAGTCCAGAGCGACGGCATCGAGGGCCAGGCTGCTCAACTGCTTGGCGGCACTGGTGAGAGGCGAGTTGAGTAGCAGAGATCCGCCCTGCTGCAGTGGGTCCGCATCCACTGTGACCTGCTCCGAGCACATCTGCTGTGTTTCCCGCAATTCCTGCTGCAGCTCGGCAATGGGATCCCGATTCAGGCCCAGTTTGTGTATGATATACTGCGGTATATCCGCCTTAATAACAGGCATGGCCTTGGCATGACCCTCGGCCGCCTCCAGCAGTTCGTAGAACTCTTGGGGATCGAACTCCAGGCACTCGAGCAGGCGGGCCGGGCGCGAGATGATTAGTAATAGTTTTTTGATCACGCCACTCAGCTCGGCGGCTGCTTCCGGAGACTTCTCCTTGGTCTCAACCAGCAATCGCTCCAGATTTTCACTCAGCTCGTAGAAATATTGCGAGGTAATCAGCTTCGCCTCCGATTTGTGCAGGCAATCGCGGGCCATTTCCAGCACCTGGTGGTGCACAAACCGCACTATGGGCTGGGAGTCCCGAAAGCTGCTGCAAGCAGCACTTTTGTTCTCATGTATAAAGTGCTTCAGACGCTCCTCCATCTGCTGGGTGGCCTTGGGAAAGCGCTCCTTGTACAGAGTATTCATCACCGCAATCTCACTGTCCACAATTGGCGAGCGCGAGGGACTGGATAACGATCGGGAGCGTGGACGAAAATGGGGCGACAACCGTCCAGGGGCGACGCCGCCTTGGCCTGGCGTGGAATTCGAGGCAGAGCAAGTGCTATTATCCTTATCCTGACCCTTTCCGCTACAAGCGAGGCTCAAATCAGCACAGCAATTGATGCAACCTGCAACCGTAAGCTTCTGGGGCTGCAACTGAGATGTCTTGGGCTGTTTGTGCAGCTGCGGCTGCTGTGGCTGCTTCTGGGCAGCGGCTTGCAACAAAACACAATGCCTGGGACAGTGCTGCTTTAGATGCTCGGCACAGCAGGCGCCGGCGGCAACAGCGGCAGCATCAGCATCGTGGACGCACGGCGGAATGTTGTGCGGCAATTGGTTGAGTGCCTCCTGACTCGAGCACTGGGACTGCAACAGAGCGTATGATCAGATACAAATTCATTCAAATTCATTCGTTCTTTTCTCATCAACTTTACCGATAAATTAGAGCTGCCTGGTGTGGTGCCATAGCCGGAGGAGGGCAGCGATGCCACAGACCAGCGACGTCCGTCCACCACTCCGCGGCACGAGGCGATCCGCTTGATCGGAGCAAATGCAAATGGCATGGGCGAATTGAGGCGCGGACTGTCCACGGGACTGGCCGAGTACGGAGAGTGCGCACGCGACCCGCCGGCCGAGGCCACAGCAGAGGCATTCGTAACCAGGCTGAGACGGTGATGGGCGACACCACTGGAGGAGGAGCCGCCAGTGCCAGTGGAGCCCGACCCCGCCCCGCCACCCGCCGACCCACGCATCACCACACCATGGAGATGATGGTGATGATGCTTGGCCAGACCAATGCCCGCACAGCTGCCCGACCGCGAGATGTTGTGGCCAGGCGAGGGCGAGGGAACCGCCGAATGGCTTTTGGCCTGAGCCATAGACGGACCAGCACCAGCCAGCTCAAGACGGAAATAGTTGCCAGTGAGACAGGGAGCCGATTTTCCCAGCGATGAGTGCCGCATGCGTAGCAAGTTGGATGCTTCTGCAAAGTGAAACAAACAAAATTTCTCGTAGGAGTGGGTGGGCAGTGGGCGTAAGCATTGCCGCTCTTACCGCTGCTGACGGCGCGCAAGGAGTTGGTGTGTTGCTGATAGGATATCTTGCGGAGCAGAGCCGTATAGCCACGCGAGTGCAATGAGCTGGAACTGCCCGATAGTCCGCCGGACGAGCTCTTGGTTAGGTTCAGGTTTCTCAATATCGAGGAGCTATTCGTGCTATCGTTTCCAATCGACAGCTTGGCTGGCGATGTGGGAAGCATCTCCAGGCCGCTGCACGACTTTACGCTGCTATTGCAGGAAGGGGCGGCTGCTAAAGCAGCTGCTGCGGCAGCTGCCTCCTGATCTGAATCGTCAAAGATGAGAACCCGGGCCGAGTAACTCGACTGGGGACGTATTCGTGAAAGATTGGCTGTGCTCAGTTGACGCTTGGCCACAGGACTACCGCTCATGGTGGAGGCCGTTGAGCCGCTGCTATCAACGGACAGGGATATGGCCAGGGCGTCGCTGGCATCTATTTCGCTGGCCATACTCCGATTGATGAACTCCTTCTCTTGATCGTCGCCCTTCTGCGGCGTTGAGGTGGATATTTTACTGCCGGTGGCTGCGGCTTCTGTTGCGGTTGCTGGGGACAATGTTGTTGTGGCTGCCGCACCTTCCGCTGAACGGGGTCCCACTCCCGACAACGACGAAGACGTGTCCTGGCGACTCATGGTCTTGATTTATACCTTTTGATGTTAGCGGTCTTGCCTTTTGTTCTCCTTTTTGGTGGTGTAGTTGCTGTTGCTGTTGCTGTTGGCTGGCATGTCGTCGGCGGCTGTAATGTAAATAAATTAATTAGCACACGGCTGGCAAAGGTTTCCAAGTTTTATTTCCCCGCCAATCCTTCCGGGAACATATAGGAACCACCATATCTCGTCTGGTTGAATTTCCACATTACACAAAGAAAAATAACAAGGGAAATTGGGTAAAATTATGAACAAACGAATACATACATATGTGTGTACGCTTATGTAAATAAAGAAAGCATGTGCCGCTCTTCTTCGGTTATCCTATGACAAATTGCGGATCCATACACTAAATATTGTGGATGTCAAGCACCTGTCCGTCCTGTTGGGCTCATTTACGGATACAGGGCGGGGATTAGGCTAAAGGAACGTATCTTGTGATGTTCTGCACGGACGGCGACGTCGATGCGTTGTCGTAGTCCGATTTCTGCGGTTATCAGCGCCCAAGTTTGTTTTTGTTTAATTTTGGTATGTTTAGTAGCATTTATTTACACACCATAAATTCACACATACACACATGTCTGGTCGTGCTCTTGCGTGTGTTCGTGTGTCTATATTTGTTTAAATTTCGCCCACTTGAGGCGAGACGAGCGAGTTATTCACATGATAATTGGGTTCGCAATCGCGCTGACTATTTGCTTAAATTTGATTATACAGAGCCCAGTCGCCACTATCCAAGGGCAAGGGATTTCTAGATCAAAAGTTTTTGAAGGCAAAAACCACTCCTTCCCTTTATGGCCGCCCACACACAGTCACAGCGATTACGGTGGTTAGGAGCAGGGCAGGGGAGGCCGAGAATCAAATCAATGTCTCTTCGGCATTCGAACACTTGAACATTTGGGAGACTTAGCTTATGACCTTACATGTTGTACACACTATTGTTGCTGTTGAACAAACCACTTTCGTGGGCCAAGCAGGCCCTACAATGAATATTAATAATTTTAACAGCGAAAAATCGTTGTAACAATAATCAGCAAAACGGTCACACTCATGGTGATGATAGCAGAGTCGGACAAGGCAGCAGCGCCATCGATAGGGCTGTAATCGATACATTGAATGATGTATCATTTGAACCGTGAGAAATGAAACTAATCGAATGCATTTGCTAAGTTTTGTTTATTTTTACGTTTTTTTAGAGAAAATGTAAATGTACCCGCCTTGCTTCATATCTTCATTATTTAGAATAATCAGAGGAAAAGCAAATCTATTATTAATGAGAATATAGCAGCTCTAACAATTCGTTAGCCATAATTCATGTTTGTACTATGCGAGGTCGGGTAAGCGCTAGATATGTTCCTTTGGGACGTTGACTGCTGCTGGCACCCTGACGATGGCTCTTCCTTCAGATGATTGTTTTCCTGGCACCATTCAACGAAGTCGTCGATAAGTACAGGCCAGGCACCTTCCGAGTCGTAATTACTCATCCGATCATCGATGTTGGTGGCAAAATCGAGGAGCAAATTCCAGGTGTCTCGCGATATGGCTCGCTTGTGTTTCTCCTCGAGGAACTTGCACCAAATGTCCAAGAACTTGAAGCGTCCGCTCAGAACTATGCACCAGTATGCAATTGCCATATCCAGATCGATGCTCTTCTGTCCCGGATCCTTGGCATAGTTAAAGGTGAAGTGATAAAAATCCTTGAATTTGCCAGCATCATTCAGTTCCAGCTCCAGCAATGGCAACTTTGACTTGAGTTTCTCAATGCTATCGATGCCCAGGTCGCACATGCCATTTGTAAATTCATCCCGTGAGAATTCGCACTGTACCTCGGCGTGAAATTTCCACGCAATGATCAGGACCAGCTTTGAGTCGGGTTTCAGGTCTAGGTCTTCTAGGAATCGTATCACGCCCTGAGAACTAATCTTTAGCGGATCACTCGGATCGCGGTATCGCATAAATAACTGCTCGATGCGTTTCCGATCCAGCTCGCGGTAATAATACTCGGGATTCTGAAAGTAGTTGTCACTGGCCAGATCCATTTTCCAGTCATTCTGTTGCAGACAAAAAATTGCAGTCTGTTCCCCCGTCTGTGTCAGCGAAATAAACTTCTTCACCTTGTCGCGATGCTGGCTCGACTTCAGTTTGTTCTGCGGATAAACGAATCAATCGAATAGTTATAAATAAATATTTGTTATAATAGATAGACGGACAATGATGATGCCCAGGCGAATTGCATAAATACAACAACAAAAGTGCGTAAGCTGGCGCTGCTTACTAATGGTAAGAAGATGCTTCAGCGTCGCACTTACAAGGCCACCAATTTCCCACACGGGCCTATGCATCGCCAAGGCAATTTCATTGCACTTTTAAAATAAATTCATTGCTACTCACCATTTCTGTTTGAATAATTATTATCTGTTTATTCAACTAAGTTTTTTCTGCGTTTGCGTTGTTAGTGGCCTAGAGTAGTGTTGTCGAAAAATCGATAGCGCTATCGGTTTTATCGATGTTTGGAAAATGAGCAGTGCTGCCAACTCTGTAGAAGAAAAAAACAGCTTTAAAAACACAACATATATACACTTTTCCATTATTTTGTCTAATTCTACCTGCCACCCGAGTCCTTAAATGACGGACCTCCAGCCCAAAACTTCGTATCGTATCGATATACATCAAAAGCATAGAGTGGTAATTTTTTGGTTATAAGTTTTACAAAGAAAAAATAGAAAAACCTAGCTGAATATATATATATTTGAAATAGCCAGAACTCCAGTTATAGCTATCTGCAAATTAGACACCATCGATAGTATATCGATAGTGAAAATAGTGTTGTGTAGATTAACACATCTGACTCAATATTGATTTTACAATAACAAAAGAATGCTACAGAGATATAAGGTCCTTAAAATGTTCGATTTTGGAGTGCTCCTGCTTGGGCTCCTGCTCAGCCTAGACTGCATTGCTCATGGCAGCGATATCACGGACAAGGTGTTCGGGAATATCAAAGAGGGCATTGTCGCAGCCTTTGGAGACTTCAACTCGGACGAGCTGACGGACATATTTGTCATTAGTGATAACATGAAAACGCTGCAGATACTCTATGGTATTTACATACATTTGGAAAAGCCCTCCCATATTCTTTTAACTCTCCCCTGGCGTAGGTCACGACACGGAGCCCTTACTCATCCCTGGACCGTATTGCACCTACCCTGGCAAGACGATTGTCAGTGCTGTTCCGGGTGACTTCGATGGTGATGCTCTGATGGATGTGTTGGTGAATCTCAAGAGCGACGAGAAGGAAAGCTATGACGTGTACATCAATTGGGGCAACACGACAGAGATAATCTGCTCCAAGCAGCCTCTCTTCAAAAGCATTGGCGAAGTGATGGCTCTTGACTTTAATCGGGACATGATCCTCGACTTATATGGTCTCGATAGTGTTGGGGAGCGCACATTCTGGATATTTAACAGCAGCCGAACGCATCCCGAGGTGATCCATCAGGCCGTGCCAACTGGAAGTGCCGGAAATAGTCTGGCCATTCCAAATGCTAATGCCTATTTAGATTTGAATGAAGACTTCCTGGCCGATCTATTTCTGCAGACACAGGACTCCTATGAGATCTGGTACGGCATCAATGAACGAGATATGAAGGAGAACTTTAGCTACCAATACTCCATAAAGTTCCAACCTATTGGCGATAGTGACTACCATATTGGCCAGGCCGTCTTCATGGACTTTGAGCTGAAAGGAGTGCAAAATATTGTGATTCCATTTTGTATTCTTGCGAACTGCCTCAAATCCTCAATTATGGTCCACGATGGCAATGACTTTCGAAATCTCCATGTAAACTTTAGGGATCCCCAGGGCATCACGTGGGCGTTGGTGCCGCCCGTTCCGGGTGATGTTTACTTGAGGACCATTACGGCCAGAAGCGGGGACTTTAATTTGGATGGCTATCCCGATCTCCTCCTCACCTTGCAGCCGTTAAACGTAGCTAAGCCGGTGATGCAAACGTTCCTGCTGGAGAATGTTCCCTGCACCACATGCGAGAAGTCGTCGAAGCGGACATTTGAGGTGCGCTGGAACGCCCTGTCACCCATGGGAAACAACACAGTGGCTGGAGCCTTCTATGATTTCTATCAGGACGGAGTGCTCGATGTGATTCTCATCCAGAAGAATCGGAACGGCAGCTACCGTCCGCTTGCATTCCGCAATACCCTTGACTACGATGCCAACTTTGTCAAGGTTATTGTTCTGACGGGACTGGATAACAAACAGAATTCAGAGCGTCGCACCCCTCTGGGCAGGAAGAAGCGTACATATGGAACGAATCTCCCTGGACCGCGCATCACCTACAGCACAACCACTCAAGATGGCGACCAGCAGTGTGGTAGCAGTGTGCAATTGCCTCAGGCATCCTATTTTGCCCTCCAACTACCTTACACCTGCTTTGGCCTTGGACGAACACCCAACTTTGTAGATCAGCTGGCCGTAGGCCTGGGGAGCAAGTGGCGCAATTGGACACAGTTGATTCCGAACTCGCAGATCATTGTGGTGCCCAAGCCGCTGGATGAGCCATCGCACTGGAAGGCTCAGCTGTTTGTGACCCCCAGTAAATTGATCTTGATGAGTGTTGTGGCCCTGGGGGGCACTTGCCTGGTCATTATACTTATCATATTGGTGCTGTACATCAAAGAGAAGCGAGAGGATAAACAAGAGCGCTTGCAAGAGTCCCACAGATTCCATTTCGACGCCATGTAACGCGATAAAATAACTTTAAACTAAGAAATCTTTACGTGTCAGCCTAGACAGTTGATTAATTTTATTATTATTATTTAAATTGTGTAATATGCCCAATATAAGGACTTCTATACATTTTTGCATTGGAAGCTACATAAATAAGTCATTAATTGTCTTTAGTAGTTGAAAAAAAAATAACAATATTCTGTTGGAGCCACTAAAGACGTCATTCACATCGAAGCTCCTAATGAAAGGAGTAGAGTGTGCCCTTTACATATGATATATACGATTATGGTTCAAGAAATGTGATAAAATAAAAAATTAATAAAGAATAATGATGTTTGAATTAAATTCTTATTGGCAAAAGGGTAAATGTAACCGTATTTACTGTTCTGCCTACACGAAATACATGGGGTTCGTTTTCAGGAACTGTGGAACAATCAACCGCTTTTCGTATTCCTCCTTTGGAGTGAGGAACTTGGTGCAGCTGTAAGAGAAGCAGTCAAGATATGTACCGTCAAAACGAATATACGTAACAATAATAACATTAATATCGCACCCAGTGAGATAGACACGTCCACGTGCCGCAGCCAAATGTGCCAAATATGCCGGAGCCGGATAAGACACTGCGCGGTTGCAACGGGGAAACATGTGACAAAGATTGTATGTTAATTGCTGCAGTAAGTCTATATCCAAGTTGCCCGTATTCTCAATCACATTGTAACGCGTCGGCTTGGCCGTCCCCTGAATCGACTGATGGCTGACCATGAAGAACTGCATCTCATTGGGATGGACAATGGTGCGATCGACGACCGTTCCCGGATCAACATTGTTAAACTTGTTGTATAGCGATGGAGTTCCGTTCGGAAAGAAGCGTGTATGATGCCGCTTAACCACGATGACGCAGCAAATCTTGGGATTAATGAGCATCTGATAGGAGACGAAGGGAGATTAGCGATCGAAAATGATGAGGCTTCGGGAGGCAAGACTTCAACTTACCTTGGTGCAGGCCGCACAAATTCCACTCAACTCTTCCTTCTTGATCTTGGGAAACTGACCATCGCTCACGCCATCACGATAATAGACAATGTGCTCGGGATAGGATTTCCGGAACTGATGATAGACACGCAAGTGCTCAAGAGTTATCGACTCCATGTCCTGTATCTCCTCCAAGTCAGAGCGTTGCAAGCGATATTGCATGTTATATGAAGCCCCGAATGGATCATGGGAGGCGGCAACACCCACCACACTGGGGATCTCACGCTGATCTGGCGATGGATGAGTTACATCAGCACCCAAGAACATCGCATTCTTTAGCAGACAGAGGGGGTCATCCTTTAGCTTATGATTGATGCCGTTTAGCTTGGAATTGACCTTAAGCAGAACGTTTCCAATACACTGCAGGTTACATTTACGCAGGACTGTGTTCTCCTTGATGCATTGTGTGAGAATTCCATGCTCCAGCTCAGCCTTTTGCTTCACGACATCATAAACGGACCCGGAATTTGGTATAATAACGTACACCAAATCAAATTGATTGTTTTTTAAATCAAGGAAATGAGAATCCAGTTCACACTCATCACTGTAATTCCGTATCTCGGCGTTGTCATTCAGGCACATATTGACGGTGCGACTCAGCTGAATTATCTGCAAAGAAAATTAGTCAGGATCTGAGTGAAATTCTGCTTCCAGCCGTGCACAACTTACCATGCCCTGAAAATCGACCACACTCATGTAGTCAATCTTACCGTAGAGTATAGCCCATTTATGTGGCTTTGGCTTGGGGTCATAGAATTGCATGCGATCCATGCGCCACGAACCGTTCCTTACCGAGGCCAAATTGTTTTTGTACTCAATCTGAGGCGCATTGAGCGTGCGTGTATTCACGACGATGAAGTCACTGCCCAGACGTATGCCAAAGTGGCTGATGGTCGGGTCTAAATTGTGCCTGAAATATTCCATCAAGCGGATGATCTTGGCCTTCCTCTCGTTGGTGGAAGTGGCAGCATACTTAATCATGGCCGCCACCTGATTAGCTCCATCCTTGCGCTGCAATGCGATGTAAAGAAATCAAATCACGAAATTATTTTCAGTGAAAGGAACTTGTTGAACTCACATTCAGGGCCTGCCCATCCTCAATGCGACATAGTTCGATAGGCAAATAAATGTTTTTCAACGGCGGCCCAACATGCAAGCAAAGCAGGTTCGGATACTTTAAATTATATTTCCGAGACCGGAAGTACTCTGCAACCGTCGTTTGCTTCCCATCCAGCTCAAATTTCTGACTGCTAGCGGGAAACTTGGAAAGCCCGTTGACTCTGAAGACGCGAGGGGCACTGGCAAAACAGGCAGGCGGATCGTATACTATATTCATGCCCTTTAGGAATGATTCGATTTTGTAACGCCTGTCGTCAAGATTTGTGCTTTTGTCAATTCTCTTGCGCTGATACTGCTCTAAATATTCAATGATCGTCATGGCCTTCGGAAAGGACTTGTGCGATATGTCCACATTAACAAACGGGCGATCGCCAAGCACGAATGCTTGATAGAGTCCAACTAGAGCTTCGTAGCCGTCGTTCAGATCAAAGGCTTTACCGGGCTCTGACCTTTTGAAGAACGAGCGACCGGCGCGTATGGCGGTGTTATGACAGGGGGCCGCCAACACAACCTCCAGACACTGTAAAACTCTCATGGGCTTGTCATATATCCTATCCTTCATATAGCTGAAAAAATGGAAAAATGGGAAATTGCATTATGCCGATTCTCTGCCGACACATTTGGTTCAATATAACGGTTCACTCACTTTCTCAGCGAGTTCAGATCGACTTCCGAGTCCTCTGTCTCCTTGATTTCCAGAGTGTAAGTCAGGGTACGGCCGTGGCGATCTAATATCTGGACGGCAAGAAAGCAATATTCACTTCAAAGGTTCCTCAAGCTCGGCGAAATACACAACAGCACTTACTTTCACTTCTTGGCCCTGGGAGCTGCATTTTAGCTTCACAGCTGAGTAGGCCGATGCACGTCCATCAAATGCGGCAATCGCACCGCCCAAGTGTTCAACTCTGTACTGATCAAATGCCTGACGATAGAACTTCTTAGGACGCTCTGGCGTGATCTTCACATCGTAGTGGTAGGCCACAGCTGGCATTTTGTCCAAGTTAACGTCGAGGTAATTGACAGATACTTGACCTGGTTTTCCCAAAGTTCCACGCTTCATGGTGCCTGCTGGGAGAGGCGGCAGAGCCGCGCCACCCTGCTTTTGGGGTGGTCCTCTTTGTTGTCCACCTCCTTGCTGCTGCGGACCTCTCTGTTGTCCGCCTCCTTGCTGCTGCGGTCTTCTCTCTTGTCCGCTTCCTTGCTTCTGCGGTCCTCTCTGTTGACTGCCTCCTGGCTGCCGCGGTCCTTTTAGTTGTCCGTCCCAGCCTTGCCCGGCCTGAGAGCGCTGCTGGTGACTGTCCTGTGTTCGCCATCCTCCCTGCTGTAGTTGGGACCCAGAAGCGGCGGAGCTTGTGGATGGAGTGGGAGTGGCTGGGGGTCTAGCGGGTTGAGTGGGTCTGTTCTGAGCACCCGGTGCACCAGCAGCTGCTCATAATTTTAGTGGAAAACAAGAAAAATATTAAAATCTAGTGTTTTCCACTAAACAAAGGAGTGAAATCTTTCGTGCACATGTCAGCCCACACCAAATTGATTTCATCAGAGGCTCGGCGAATTTCGTGATTCCCCCGATATTGAAAACACACATACATACATACGTATGTATGTACATATGTATTTACAATGCTTATCGGAGGAATGGAAGTTACATATTATATATACATATGTATGTACACACAACATATGCATATAGAAGATGCTAGATTTTTTGTAGTACATTTGTAGTGCATTTCACTTACCTTGTTGTTGTTGTGGCTGTGCTGCAGGGGGCACAGGCTTCTCAGCCTCCTTATATTCTAAGATTTTAATGAAATACGATGGAGTAAGTAACATTACCTAAATAATACAATTTTTTAGTATTCTTACTATTTTTCTTTCCCATGTCTGAGACTTTCTGATGCGTGAAAAAGCAACTAACTGATTGCAACTGATTGCGTATTGCTGCACTATAATGCAGTTAAACAGGTTCTGTTCGTTCCGGTTTCAAGTCACACCGAAAATCAATTAAATTAATCCCAATTAATTATTCGTGCAGTGCTACCAAAAAACAAATTTTTATAACGAATTTATCATAAATTATAAACAATATTAAACAATGTACGCAGTGATGGATTTATCGATACAACAGATTTTACATTCTAATACATATGTATATACAATTAATCCAAATGAAACCAATCATTTGGTAAAAAGTATGCCCCGACGTCTAAAAGCTGTTATTGAAGCTAAGTGCGGCCCCACCAAATATTGAAATCAGAAAAAATTTGGGACAATACGTTTTTTTCGTACAAAATAAAAAGTGTCTGAATAATTTTTGTGCGTAAAAAAGTGGCCTTTTTGATACTTTTAATTTTTTTTTGATATGCCAAAGAAGGTTTTTTTATACCTGATACTCAAAATGAGTATTGGGGTATATTAGATTTTTGGTAAAAGTGGATGTGTGTAACGTCCAGAAGGAATCGTTTCCGACCCTATAAAGTATATATATTCTTGATCAGCATCAATAGCCGAGTCGATTGAGCCCTGTCTGTCTGTCCGTCTGTCCGTCTGTCCGTCTGTCCGTCCCCTTCAGCGCCTAATGCTTAAAGACTATAAGAGCTAGAGCAACGATGTTTTGGATCCAGACTTCTGTAATATGTCACTGCTCCAAAAATATTTCAAAACTTTGCCCCGCCCACTTCCGCCCCCACAAAGGGCGAAAATCTGTGGCATCCACAATTTCGACGATACGAGAAAACTAAAAACGCAGAATCGTAGAAGATGACTATATCTTCTAGAGTGCAAAATTTGAACCAGATCGTATAATTATTACAGCCAGAATCACGAAAACAATTTCACTCTTTCTCGCTCTGTCTCACTCTAACACACAGGTTTCATGGTCGGTTTTGCCAATTGCAAAATATGAGTTCAAGGATCTCAGAACCTATAAAAGCCAGAGCAACCAAATTTGGTATCCACACTCCTGTGATATCGGACCTTGACCGTTTCCTGTCCAAATTTCGCCACACCCCCTTCCGCCCCCGCAAAGGACGAAAATCTGAGGCAACCACAAATCTCAGAGACTATTAAGGCTAGAGTAACCAAATTTGGTACACACACTCCTTTAAGATGTCACTATAAAACGTATATCTCAGAATTTCGCCCCACCCCCATCCGCCCCCACAAAGGCCGAAAATCTGTTGCATCCACAATATTGCAGATTTGAGAAAACTAAAAACGCAGAATCATAGATAATGACCATATCTATTAGATTGCTGAATCTGGATCAGATCAGATCATTTTTATAGCCAAAAGGAACAAATCAATTTGCAGTGGCTACGCAGCGCCCGACGTCACGCTCAGACTGATTTTCTGTCTCTCTCGCACGCACTCTTTGTCGTGTCGTTTAATATTAGCGGCGTCTGCCGGAGGAGAGCCATACTGACTTAGTATCGGGTATAACCGTAGAGTTGCGGTGTCCGCAGCAACTCACAACGTTCCCCCTCGTTTGTTTTTAGATTTGAAATAGTAATATCCATGTTCATAATGAAATAAAAAATTTGTGCTGCCTGTATTCTACACATTGGCTACACATTTGCTACATAACGGAAGGAAAAAGAGGAAGTGGACAACAGGCAACACGGTCCAGAAAATGCAACGCATGCAAGTGAATTTCACCCAATTTGCCCAATGTACCTTGCCGATTTTGTCTTCATAGTATGTTGTCCTCACACGCGAGGTGAGTTCATACAAATCTTGCAATTTGCTTGGCAGTTTATTTTCCTGTTGTCCATACCTCTTTCTATAGCCCATTACGACTCATGTTTTCGTTCGATTATGAGCGTCTGACCTCAGAAATATACCGAAATTTAAAATATACCGTAAAAATATACCAATAATACAATTTTTGTATTAATAAACGAGGGGAAACGTTGTGAGCCGTGGCTAGGGCCGGGGCTTTACATATATACCCGACACTTAGTCAGTGTGGTTCCCCTCTCTCGTAGTCTCTGAGATCTAGGCGCTCATCGGGACGGACAGACAAATATGATTCAATCGACTCGTCTATTGGCTGATCAAGAATATACATACATATGTGTATATCTTATGGGGTCGGAAACGCTTTCTTCTGGGAGTAATAATATATAATTTTGAAGCATGAATTTGAGGAACAGAACCACAAACATCGGGACACGAGATTTTTATAATATGCTAGGGAGCAAGCCCCCTGCGCACACGCTAAAATATCAGGACCATTAGCTTAGAAATTTAGCACTCAATATGTACAAAAATTTGTATCCAGATTGTCGTACCCTATTCTCAGACATTGTTGGAATTATATTCCATAGTAGGTGGCAAGCTCCATGTGCGTTTTATACACATTTTGGACTAAGAAGGAATGAATTGCATGCCTGTTAAGGTTGAACATATATACATAAATGTACATACATACATATGTATATATTGTTGTGTAATATATGATTACAATCAATTTGAATTGCACAAGTATGTGTAGGTATTAATTGTAATCATTTTGTGGTGACTGTATGAAATCATTCTAGACTGCTCTTTTTCGTGTAAACTACGAGACACTGGAACAACTGTTCAAACAAGTTATAAAAAGTTTAATATTGGATGCATACACAAATGATCAACGAAAAAAGTAAATTGAACGGTCAGGAATGAGTAGCGTATAGACTCAGAAGGCTATAAAGGATCTCCAAAGATAAGAAACTCCAAAAATGTTTGGGTAATTACTCGTTTATAGATTTAAGATATACGGTATTGGATTGCGAACAAATTTAGCAGTCTCTTTTCATACCAGGTACTCAAAAAGTGCAGGGGCTCGAAGCTCGAAGGCAGTACATCGTTATGTGCATATGTATATTATTAGCTTGATTCTGATCAATAAGCGAATAGTTTTAGGATGCATACGGAGTATCGGCTTACACACATATGTACATACATTCGGAATATATATTTCGAGAACCCCTTGTTAACACTTATCATATTATTTTTGCACACATTACGTTTTTATGCAGCGATAAGATCACAAAAGGCTGTAGTATATTTACATGAACTCTAAAACAAGCAGCAGTTATAAAAATAAATTCTACACTAATAGGCTGTTTACACTAGGGCTGCGTCATGCGTCTTTGCGTCTGGTCGAAGATATAGGGCGCATTCACCAGCACAACTTGCTAAGCTGATGATTAGATGATTTTCATACATAAATTCATCCATCATATCGATATAAGCAAAAAGCAATGGATACTACGCTACGGATTTACGCTAACAATTAATTATTAACCAATTGAAGTTGCATAGTGTAATCAACACTATCGTATGACAGTGTGAAAGAGGCGGTCCAAACTGTTGTAAATTAAATGCTGCAGGGTTTTCTGCGGCACATGTGTGTTGTTGGTGATGCCCAGTCCGACAGTGAGAGTGACCGACAGTTGTATGGACCTGCGCCCCCACATTTCCCCCGACCCCTCGATGGCTGGGAACTCCACAGAGCTGTAGTACCCCCTGCTTGCCAAGACATATCTGGTGGATACAACCACCTAGTCCGGCCATTTAGTTATGTAGGAGACTTCGATGGCAGAGCCCGTTTCCGGTGTTCCAGGGGATAAGCAAGTAACATTTTCAATAGGCAAGATGAATATCGCATATCGGTGCTGTTCTAATGGTTGTTTGCGTTTTATTTTGAATTGCACTTGCTTATTCCAAACTACAGCAACCACTCATAAAAGTTTTACAATTTTTTTGTGTATATTTTCTGGTTTTCGTTCGAATCGTTTTCAATTTTAGTTTACAATATGCATTAAAACTGCTGTACTTTTGTGTATAAACATCTCAAAACGCTTTTACTCTTCCAAATGGATTGCTATTATCGTATCTTATTTGTTTATTTTTTAACGAATTTTATAGTCAAGTTTTTGTCATTGCACAAGCTTTTTCTTTCAGTGTGTTTCCATATTTTTCTATAAGGTTTTTCTTTGTTGTTTAATTTTACTAACAATTGCACAACTCCGCTTGGTTTACACACACATAAACAAAAATACATTAAAATACCTAAAATATTTTGTATAGATAGTACTCGTATTATCGATTTAATAAGAAATCATCGGTTTACGCTTAAAACTTCGCTTAAGTATTTTTCTTTTTTTTAGATAAATTCAACTAATTTAAACTAGAATGACTCATTTTTTAACGCCGCGGAAAAAGCGCGAAACATCTGCATTTCTAGTTATGCCAAAAAATTGCACTAAGATGTAAAAAAAAAAAAAAATAATTGCTGCAAAATTTGATTAAATTGGGGTTTGCCCTCGGACTTTGAGGTCAGTGCAGCGGCGTCTTATAATATTAAACTTAACAAACAATAATTCATTTTCATAATTGGCTCGGAAATTGTTTAACTTGGCCAGGCAACGCGACAGAGAACCAGAGAACCAATTCAAGATTCTTTCTACATTCTACATTGGTGCGTTTCTTTGCGGTTGCTGGTGGTAAACTTATGAAAAGAAACTAAAATTCAGCATATATGTAAACATATGTAGTTCGTTGTGAAATCATTCTATCTAGCTCCATTATGGAATTGTTTAGGTATATACTTTCGTATCATTCGTTTGCTTGAGAAATGACGTTTAAAGGAACAAGAGTCATGCCAAAGATAGTGCAGAGATGCGGCTCCGAGGTCTTTCGTTCATTCATTCAATCATTACTAAAACATAATGTATGCACATGTATATCGCTGCTCGCTTATGTAGATAAAGTTAAATTATATCAGATCAGATCGAACAGAACCCACATCAAAGCATGCCATATCCCATTTTTTAAGCTTTTCTTCTTTGAATTTTTCTTTTTTTCGTTTTTGTTTTTTGTTTTTCTTTTTTGTTGTTTGTTTTTTTGGTCTGTTGATTTCGTTCTATTACGAGTACAATATTGTTAGTTAGCTTCTCTTATGACGCTTTTCTGAATTGGCTTCTGCTGTTTGAGCTCGTCGATCGTTTCTGTTGTGGTTGTAGTTGGAGTTGGAGTTACTCTAGGTAAAGTTTATATAACAGGAATGCATGACTAATATACATATCTATATATAAGAAACGTTCTACAAGTAGCTAGGACATACATCCATACACACAAATTATATGGTATTAGTTATAGGCATCTGGGTGCTAAATCTTTTTTGAATATGTATGGAGTGGAGGGAAGGGGAGTGGGAAAGCAGGATGAACAGTCGCGGAGTAGGAGGGAGGGAGGACATTTCTTCCGATTTGTGCTAACAAAAAGCCGGACAAAAATTCTTACATTTCCTTGCTAACAGCGCAAGTCTTATAAATTCTTCAAAACTCTCACAGAAAACTTCAGAAGTAATAGGCGGAACAAAAAATACAAAAAAAAATGTATAGATATCTATATACATATACATTTATATATAGAGTTATAGGTATAGGTGTAGGTGTAGGTATAGGTATAGGTATAGGTAAATAGGTATAGATATATAGGTATTTCGGGAAGGCGGGCAAACAAGAAACGGAACCGGCACACGTCCTGGGTCCCTGGCTTAGGACTTTTTCACATTGTGCTTGCTAACTAGGGCCTGCAATTTGTGCAGCTGACTAAGTAGATTGGCATTGGTCTCCTCCAGCGACTCGAGGCGCTTCTTGTAGTCGTGATTCTCAGTGACAAGAATTTCCACGCGCCTCTCCAGCTGGTCCATATACTCCTTCTTCTTGCGACGACTTTCCTGAGCAGAGATCTATGAAAGGGAAACAAAACAGAATTAACATTAGAGCTCTGGTCCTGCCTCACAGGAGCTTGTTTCCAGCTCGACTTACTTTATTTTTAATTTTACGTCTGATCTTCTTGAGCGATTTCTCTTCGGCTTTTGTTAACGGGAGCTTCTGCGGTATCGGATAACCCTCGGCCAGCAATGTGCGTTTCTCCTCCTCTGTCAGCAGCAGTGTGCCTGTAGAGCCCTTCTGCAAGTCAAAGAATTTGATTAGTAATGCTACTGGGTAGCAGGAGCTTGGCGAACGTACCGGCTGGGAGCTTATCAACGGCGTGTGTATGGGCTGCCTTGTTGTGGTCGTGCTGGTGTTGGAGCCGGAGCCGGTGCCGGTGCCGGTGCCGGTGCCGGAACCGCCGCAGCTGGCAGAGCGCGTGATGCCGGTAACGTTTCGCCGCACCATGGTCGATGACTCGCCATTGGCTGCATTGGCCACGGATATAGAAACGGAAGCGTTGGGCGACAGTGGCGAAAACAAATGTTCCGGTGTCAAGTTACCTTCGGAATCGTCGCTGGGCAGAGATGATGGCGGCGTCAGGGGAATGCCGTAGGCATGTGACTTGCCCGAGCTGCTGCTGCTCGTGGTGCTGCTGTTGCTGGTGTTTTGTTTCTCGCTCTTGATCTCCATTTTGGCCATTATAAGATCGCCCTGTCCAAGGAGCGGGTGCTGGTGCTGTCTCTGCTGGGACTTAATGAGGTGATTGTTGCTGCTGCTGCTGCTGCTGCTGGTCAGCAAGAGGCCGCCGTGCTAATCAGGGGTAAAAAACACACAGTGAGTACAGCCGAACCGCATTCTCGTTTTTATAGGAATAGCCCACCTTCTGCTCAAAGAGCATTTCCGTCTGTAGATGGGCCAGATTAAGGCTCAGCTGGTGCTGCTGGGAGCTGCTCGCCTGTGAGTTGGGACTGGCGGGGCAGCTGGAGTCGGGCGACATGGGCTCATCCTTGATTGCCGACTCGTCGATCTCAATGTCCGAGCAGATGTCCGGTGATATGCTGCCATCCCGAATCGACGACAACGACGAGCTGCAGTCATTGTCGTACAAGTGAGGTAGTTGATAGTGATCCATAGCGGCGATCACGTGGCTGTGGCTGTGGCTGGAGCTGTTGCTGTTGCTGTTGCTGTTGCTCCCGCTCTGCAGGTGGTGCGCGTGCGTCTGGAGCCCGGCCCGTGTCAAAGTCGCTGTGGCTGTGGTCAGCTCTGAGCTCAGGGCGGGACTGCAGCTCACGCGGCTGCTGTGTGTGGCGGGTGTGTGCGATTGCGGGTGGAGGGTCAGGCATTTGGGATCGATGGTGGCCCGCACACTGGTGGCCGACTTCAGTGAAATGGCGGGGAAGCATTCGTCATCCATGTCTGTGGGGCAGGGAAAGAGAAACGTTCGAGTTAAATCCAGTTCCTGCCGGGGCTTATCGACTATCCCGGTTTCAATCGGTTTTAATCGGCTTAATTTTTTCTGTTCTTTTCCCAAAATAGCTTTAGGCCTTAACTACATACATATGTATGTATGTCGTTGTTGGTCCATAGCATAGCTGTTTGCTCCTTTTGGCTTTTGGTTGATTTGGCTCAATTGAAACAGACCTACGAGTACGAGTATGTGCGCAAATATGTTGGGTAAATATTGTTGAGTCTAGTCTAACCTACATATTGTACAGACATTGTAGGTAGGTATGTACGTCTCTAGAGCACTGTTTGTTCTGTACTCTACGATTTCACAAATATTGTGCAACAATTTGAATAATATTCTGTAAAAGAAGCCAGGCCGGGCACGCGTCGGTTCGTTCCACGACCCACAATGCACACATGTGTTTGCATTTGAAATATTGTTATTTCAGTTTTGTTTCAGTTTTTTCTGTTTTCTGTTGTCTGTTTTCTGGCAAAAACTTTCTTTCCAGCTCCACACACGAATTTGGTTCGTTTTAATTTTATTTGTACAGTTGTTGTACAGTTCAGTTTCTATAAAATTACAGATAATAGCACGAAAAAAGAAGCCCAGACCAGGCCGTGCCGGGCCGGGCCGGGCCAGGCCAGACCAGACCCCAGTCAACAGCAATTATACACAGTTTGCTCTCGTACTCGTTACGTTGCTCGTATGAGGCGGCAACACACACACAGGAAAGGAACGGAACGGAACGGAACCGAACCGAACATTTGCTGTGCTCTTCGTACCACTGATATTCGTATCGCGTCAAAGTACAGAACTTCATGCCCGAGTACTGCGTTAAATTGCTAAATGCTACCGCGACACTAAATAAAAAAAGCAACACCGACCAGAACACAGACACAAACTGTTTTTCAACTGTTATTCTTGTCAACGCAGTTCTAATGGTTGTTGTTTTCATTATAGTCCGTATGTTTGTATGTACATATGTATGAATGGAGATGGCCTAAATAGACCAACTGAAAGCTGTGTTTGGATTGGTTTTTGGACCTTTCTGGCAGAATAAAACGCACTCTTCTCTATGCAATATGCTATGCAAATTCACCATAAGAGTCACTAGCGATCGATAGCATTTCAGTTACAGGCGATTACGATTACGATTACGATTACGATTACGATTACGATCACGATCACGATTACTTACCCTCGATTTTGGGGTGCAGACTCTTTGGTGAGTCTGGCAGGGAATCAACATCGCTACTAAGGCTATAGGAATGCTCGGTTTTGATTGGCAGCGTACCATTGAGCAGCGCATCCGAGATGAGCTTGTCATTGAGTATAACGGTGGGATCTTTGACATCGCGATCGAACAGCCAGTCGTGCATATCGTGATCGCTGCTAATTTTCAAGGATTCCTGTAAAGGCACAAGCAAACAAATGGTTGGGTGGTTGGCAATTAGTAAATGTGCAAAAGTCATTCATAGTCGTGTTGCACGGCGATAGCACGGTTATATAATTTCCGAATAATAAAAAAAAAAAAAAGCAAAAGTACAACTCAACTTCATACATAGTGCATACATACATATAGACGACCTATAGCAAAATCACACGAAACCCCCCAAAACGCAACAGTACACGAGCGATGCAGATAGCTCACAAAATATACATATACCAATACATATACATACATACATCTACTATTTATTTGAAAAATACATTCTCGGCAGATCTGACTTGAATGTGGCCTTTTTATGGCATGAGGCTATGCAGTATATATTTTTGTTGTCAATCTTATCAGAAGACATTTTACCGTCGACAACGCGCAGCGATTCCAGCGTACCCTTGAAATGCTTGTTGCTGTACTCCGTAATCAATTTAGAAAGAAAATGGTATTCAAGTTATCAATGGTGTTGGGTCAATATTCTATGGGACTTGCAAATGGTTTGGATTGGTTTCCATTTCAATCACATCACCTTTGAAAAGCAGCGCCTTCCCAAAGGACAGACATATCGATAGCACACAGCCCTGTGAGTGGTGTGTCTATCGGAATCGGACCCATTACCATACCAATAGTGTTCTACGGCAAGGCTGGCTGCTGGCTGCTGGTTGCTGGTTGCTGGCTTCATTTTTAAAACCTTAATGGAGTTCGCGCAGCTTGCAATTCTCTTGTTCCTCTTTTTTGCAATTAAAAATTGTGTGAATCGTAAGAGGTGTGTAAATTATAGCAAACGGATTCAAAGTTAAGTGTTTGCGGCCGTGATGAGCACAGAATCAACCTTGAAAATCACTCAAAGTGCAACAAATAACTCTGCTGTTGATGTTGGGAACGAGTTCTCCGCTCGGCCTTTTTCTATTTGCCCGCAAGAAAAAACGGGGGGAACGAAAAAGTAAAAAAACAAACACATCCAGAATAAATTTGGCTTAAATTTATTTAAAGCCAGATGATGTAATCCCTCCCCAATGTGCCAGATTTTGTTTTGGACTGAATTTACTTAATTGTCGCCAACCCAACCAATCCAATCTACGGCCATGCCATAAATTGTTGACCCATTTAAAATCGGCATTTTGTGGCATGTGTATGTATGTATGTATGTATGTATGTACATGCTGTATGTGTCCTATGTGTGTGATAAAGAAGTGCATGTAATTACACTTTAAAAGCACATTTGTATGTAAAAATTGGCTGCCTCGCTTGGCGTGCCACCAAGCGTTGCGTTGCGTTGCGTTGCGTTGCGTTGCGTTGCCCCTCGTTCACGCTCATGTTCTAAGCCACCAGCTCATGCTCAAATGGAATCGAATCCAGTTTTGGCCATAAAAAAGGGAATGTCTACGGCTACGGCTACGGCTACGGCTACGGCGTGTGTGTCTGTCTGTCTTTCTGTCAAAAGGTATGAGATTCTTTACCATTTCTCAGGTCTGTCTCTCTCCCCCTGTGGGTCTTCATTTCAGGCTTACCTTACCACTTACTCTGTGCATATGTATGAGTGTATGTACATATGTACATATGTATGTATGTACTAAAACATTGATTACCGCTTGCACGCGTGCATTTTTAAGCAAGCATTGGCATGTCCGCACATGCACACTTCTGTATGTATTTATGTACGTATGTACATATGTATGTGTGTGTGGGCGAGGGTGGTATGAAGACTCTCTAGCTGATAGCCCCATTGGGTCACCAAATTGATGCGATCCATAGATCGAGCTTGTGTATACATGTATGTATGTATGTACATACATATGCGATTTAGCGATTCATCAAGCGAAAAGTTTAAAAAATGCCCTCGCATTTTTCGGCTAATTCCGTTGGACAGTGCATTTAAACACAAATACACAAGTGCTTTCACCGCATTTTAGCCGTCTCCGTCTCCGCACATCAGGCCAAGAATCAGCAAGCAGCACCGGGCACGGCACATACATACTGGCATACATACATACATACACACATAGGCGGCGTAAGCTAAGCGAGTGTGTGTGTGTGTGTGTGTCTGTGCGTGCCTGTTGTGTTGTGCTGTGCCTTGTGTGTGTGTGTGTGACTTTATGATGAGTTCAACGAACCTCGGGAATTGTTGAGAATTAGCAATTCTTGAAAAATGCTACCAAAACGGGCAACACACACACACACACACACCACAGGTGTGCGCGTATAACATATCAGCATGTATTTGTGTCCGAACCATGTAGCTGTTGTCTTGGCTTTGGTTGTGGCTGTAGATGATGGCGATGGCGATGATGGTGATGATGATGATGATGAAAGAAAGAAAGCCAAGAGAAAAAGACGCCAAGGCAAAAGTGCTCGCAGGCATTTGCTACTTCTTTTGTGTGTTGCTGTAGGATCCGAGCTGCGGGGAGAGAGAGCATCATTTGTTGCACGTTTCAGGTGGGGTTTCTCATTCTCTCCCTCGCTGCCGCGCTGCCTCTCTGCCTCCTCTGCCTCTCTGCCTCTCTGCCTCTCTGCTTCTCTGCTTCTCTGATTTGTGCTTTGTGCAACGAAAGCGCCGTGGCACGGTGAAATGGCTAAGGGCGCCTTCTCAAGTGGAAAGCCGCTTGGTGTGTTCCTGGTGCTTGATGCTTCAAGTGCTGCCTCTTAAACCACAAAAACCGCTTAAGCACCTAAGCCTGACTTGGGGGCAATCGATTGCTTAACCAGGCTGTCGGAGCTGGAGTTGGAGCCGTGTCCGAGTCCGAGTCGGAGTCGGAGTCTGGCTTGGAAATGCAATCGATTGACCCCATTTCAAAGTCGATACTCGTGAAGAGCAAACCTGTTGCATTCCCTTGACTTGTCTTGACTTGGCCTGGGGAGTGCGAGCCACCAAAAAGGTTCTCTGAGAACTTTTCATTTACGTATTTACGTATGTATTTTGTAACCCAATCAAGCAAACCAACCAACCACTTTGAAAACAAAAACAATCAAAATAACAAAAACAAAAATCAAAATCAAAATAGCCGCCCGAGGGGTTTTCTTTATCTTACGGCATTAAATTAACATAGACATGTTTGTGTGTATGTGTGTGTGTGTGTGTGTGTTGCCGGTTCCCGGTATTTAAATTTACAATCTTCAGCTCCCGCTCCCCCTTCCCATCATCCTTATCCCCCATCCCCATCCTCGTGCTCGTCTCTCTCTCTCTCTTTCTCCGTCAGGTGAAAAAGGGTGAAAAAGAGCAACAACAAACATACAATTTCATAAAATAATTAAACTGGTTATAGTTTTTTGTTGTTGTTGTTGTTGTTCGTTTTTTCTCTTTTCGTTTCTTCTCCAGTCTTTCTCTTGGCATATCTCTCCCTATCTCCTTTTGGCTCTGATTTTTTCTTTCGTTTCTTTGATGGTTTTGCCCATACCTTTTTTCGATTTTGCTTCTTTTTTTTTTTGCCTGCTCCACAAATTGGATTGATTAAATAATGTTGCAGCAAGCGAAAACCTTTCACATTTACAAAAATGCAACTGTATGTGTGTCGGAGTACTGGAGTGGCGGAGTGGCAGAGTGGCAGAGTGGCGGAGTGGCGGACTGCTGGAGTGTGAGACGATCATTATGTATGGTACCACACACAGAAATCCACTCGTGTGTATGTACATACATATGTATGTATATCGCTTTCCTTGTGTTGTGCACAGCATTTTTAGTCTCGAGTCTTTATTTCTTTTCAATTTTTATGCCCATGCTGCATCATTCGCCGTTGGTAAAGTGAAAGGTGCTCGCTCCCACAATTCGAAAAAGCTGAAAAAACCAAACCGAAGTGAACTGAACTGAACTGAACTGAGAAAAAAATGCCTTTAACTTGAAAAATTGCTATGGTTTTTGTTTTTGGTTTTTGGTTTTTTTTTGTATGATTTGGCTTGCTTTGGTTTTGTTTTTCTTGAGCGTGTTAAATGGTAATGGGGCGGCTTTAAGGCTTTTACATGTGTATGTGTGTGTACGAATAAATGTAAATGTAAATGTAAATGTAAATGTAAAATGTCAATTTCGATTGCCTTGAAAAGAAAGTGGGAATTGGCCAGCACAAAAGGTTTAATTAGACCAAACCAAAAACCAAAATTCTATTAATTAAAAGGCATCCGAATCAGCATCGATTGTTATTACGGGGCTAGCAGGAAGGTTTTCGGGAAAATCACATCAATCACAGTGTTTTTTCCATGTCGTAGCTGTATATTTTCGCATGTTAAAAATACACCATAATGTGTTTAAAAATAGCCAAACAAATGAGGGGCAGAGACAGGGTGGGGGCGTGTGTCCAATGCGGACTTGGCTTATCACAAACCTACGAGTAGTACGTACGTACATATGTACATATGTCTGTGCCCGTGTGAGAGGAATGAAGAAAGTACGTAAGCAGTCGCATGGTTGCGGCACGTCTGACGGCCCCAGCAACTATTCGCCAAACGGAAACCAATGTGAAAGTAACAAAAAAAAAACAAAAAAAATTAAAAATGAAAGACTGTAAAAGGGGGAGACCAATACAGATCAAATTCTGCCAAAGACTCCTCCAAAGAGCTCGAGCACCCACACACACACACACACACATACACACAACTCCTGCCTTCCGTCGGTGTCCTCTAGTCCCCCAGCAATTCGCATTTCGTAGCTTGGGTGTTGCGTTGAGTGAAACCCCTCCGATTGTGGGGGCTTGAAAAGATCATTATAGTCTTCGGTTCCAAGGTGCAAACGGTGCCGTTGCCGCTGCCGTTGCCACTGCCTTTCACAAAATCTTTGACGTGCGGAATCTTCAGCTGAAGCCAAATCTGCATTTGTACGAGTATGCAAAACAGCCATAACCAATTTAGCAATGCCCATGGATATGAGTCAGAGCCGGGCGACCTTATTCGACAGAACAGAATGAATTCTCTTCCAAGGTTTCTTGGAAAGATAAAACTGACAAATGTGCTGTCACTGGGTAATTACGATATTCTAGGCCTCAACGCGAACACGAGCATGACCCTCTAATGGTCTTTGATATATGTATGTATGTATTATGCATTAGGATAGGCAGATTAGTTTCGACGACACTTGCGAATTTTCTCGCTTTAAGTTTTCCTTGGGAAAGCTTCAATCTCTTTGTTTGCCTTCCTGTAACAGGCTTCCAACTGTTGCTACCAGATGCCTGCTGTTACACTTATCGTATAACACTTCATTAACACTCGCAATATGTTCCTACGCCCACGCCTAGTACGCATCCAATCAACCCAACCCAACCCAAGCCGAGCCAAGCACCCAGCCTGCCCCCGAAGAAAACTCTCTTCCATCCTGGGGCTGGAACATATTGTACTCTCGTTGCAAGTCTATGAATAATTCACATATTGGCTTGCCACAGCCACTTCGCGCCATCCTGACATTGACGTCAGAAAAGCACAGCCCGAACAGCTGTCCGACCGCCGACCGCCCACCGCCCACTCTCGGCCAGTGGTAAGAGAACCTTGCAAGAGAGCCGGGCCTTGCAAAGAGAACTCGCGTGGACACTGCGCATCCTGTTTGACGCAGCGCGTGGCAAAATTCGCATGAATGGACGCGAACGGAGCTGAATGGCCGTGGACGTCAACGGAGAGAGGAGAGCGGAGAGCGGAGACGGGAGAGCGACGGGCGAAGCGCTCTACGTAAACCGACACTACTGGTGTATGTGGGCGATGGGAGAGGGTGTCGTGCTTGCACAAATTTAATTATGCGCGCTTTTTTGTGGGCCCGCCATATGTTACGACTTTTGGCATAGAAATTGTGACGCTGGAGCGCGCTAAATTTGCAATAGTCCCGTCCCGTTCCGTCGCGCTTACCCCCCCACTTCCCTGTTTCTCTGCATTCGCTCGGATATCGGTGTGTGTTAACCTGTTTTGCAGATTGCAACGCTCGCATCGGTTTATTGGAAATGTCAAAGTTAAGCAATACACACACACACACACACACACAGACAGTGTGGGACAGAGACAGAGAGCCATGAATATCGCCGTCGTCTTATAGACCATATTGAAAGTATCGTGCATGGCCCGAACTAGTTATTCAAATATGCTGGCTGGGCCCCACCGTCGTCGCACTCTCAAGACTGTCGACTGTTGCCAAGCACGTTTTTTTTCTTCTTTCTAATTTGTTGCTGTTTTTGTTTTCCATTGGTTGTTGTTCTCGTGTGCATTTTAAATAGCGGGGCTTGTGCATTAAGCCGTTAGAAATTTAAACCTAACCTCAACGTGTTGCATGCATTTGCATGCACAGTGGTGCACGCTCGACCATAAAGGGTGTCAAATTGGCTCCAAGAAATTGTTAATAACATTATGCACGGACGGACAACTATACCTGTACGTATGTACGTACGTGTGTATGTATGCACGTTCTCTTCTCGGCGACGACCATTGTTGCCATTTTCTGCTTATATAAGCGAAAGTTAGCCCACAAAAACAAAAGCTCTAGAAATGTTAAATTTTGTCATTATGAATACGTTTTCTTTACGGCTTTGTCTCCATCTAAATGGAAGACGAAAAAGTTGCTGACTTTTGACTAGCATGCAGACCCACCAACCAGCTCTACCGCTCTACCGCTGTACCCCCCTATCCCTCTATCCCTCTCCGTTTGGGCCATAATAACGTTTAGGAAAGTCGAAATGCTTTGACGTTGGTCAGCATTCTTTTGTGAAGGGGACTGCAGTTTTTCTTTTTTGCAGTTTTCTTCGCCGCAGACCCAAGGTAATCATTTTCGACGGTTAAGCATTAACCGTCCAACAGTCTGTCTGGACACTGTTATTTTCGAGGCGATTGCCTTCGGAGTTCCGTTTTGAAGCTAACCTTCTTTCGGCTTCATTTCAGATATCAGATATCAGATTTAAGAATTCAAATTTCAAATTTCAGTTCTTCCCAAGGCGCAACCCTTTTCTCTTTCCGCTTCTCCAAATAGAAGTACATGCAGTCATAGAGAAGATTAGCTTGGTTCTAAATCCGCCTAATGATGCCTCCATCATTTTTGTTTTCCTGTTTCCATGTGCTCTGGAGGCCCCTTATCATCGGGATGTGTAAAGTTTAAATAATAATTTTAGCTTTCGGTAGCAAAAATTTCTATTTCTTATCACCCAAATGGACCACAAATACACACAAGTCTTTCGATAGAAAACGTACATTGTTTGAACTGGAGGTGGCTTTTAGTTTCGGGAACTCGTTAGAATCGCGTCGTCTTTCCATGTAAAATCCCACAGCTTGATTGGAATGACCGAGTGATCAAAGCAGTTGCTGGATTTTCCCCTATGAATCGATTTCCACGAAATTCCCCCTGATCTTATGTACATATATAAATTCATACATATGTGCATATGTATGTCTGTGTGTATAGGTTTTTTTTTTGCGATTGCGAGACACATTAATGATGATTTTGCTCTGGGAACTCTTCCAGGCATTCAACTGATAGGGGAAGCACTCGAAGATCTCCTAATGAAAGGGAAGGGGGTGATAACAGTGATCGGAATCTCGGCTGGACAATACACGTGACATTATCGGGGAGGGGCGGGCGACCAGGTCCCGTTGTGGCCAGTTTTGAAACCCTTATTGAAAGATTTTTTTTTTGGCTTCCCTTTTATTAAAACTGATTATCTGCACGTCGAATTATTTATAGTTTGTTTATTATGGTTCATCGGGGGAAAAACCTCAGGGAATCATAATTATTATTATTATTCATTTATATATTTTTTTTTGTTTTTTTGTTTTTATGTCCCCCCCCCCTTCTTTAAGTGGAAAGTGGTGCGCTAACCTAATCAAGACGAAGCATTTCAGGCCTTATCTGTTTTTTTCGCTTTTGCTTTTTGGTTACAAAATACTTTGTGATAAGATTCTTGATATGCCTCAAGAGACTTTCAAGTGATAATATATATTATTAAAATACGCTAAAATGAGAAAACGATAGGAATGAGACGGGGTCGCACTCGCACTCGCACCCTTATGGTGATAGATCCATGGCCATGCACTGGATTGCAGAGGAGTGATCCCCGAACCACATCGAGAAAGAGTATTTAAACGCAGACTTTCCACACGGATCAATCCATTCTGGTAGGCGCTCACAAATACTCGGAGAAAATTGCATTCGAGATACTTATGATGTAATTGAGCGCACGCCCCGGGTACTGTACTGGTATATTGTAGAGCTTACTGCGGAAAACACACAAAAACAAAAACAGAAAGAGAAAGAAAAAGAAAAAAACTACGCGCGTATTTTCCCGGGTAGCGGGCCTATTTCTGTCGTTCCGTCTACATTGTCGTGTAGAGTAGTCGCCGGGGCACATTATCTCCCGAATAGTAATGACACTGACGGACCGTACCGTGTACCGAGTCGTGTACCGTGTTGACACGCCGCAAAGTGCAGCAGCAGCAGCAGCAGGCGAAAAAAGTCATTACTTTGCATTTAGAACAGCTGATAGCGGCGCCGCCGACGACTAGCACGACCGCTTATCACCGCTCCATGTGTCCTCCGCGCATGCCGTAATAGATTCTTCTTTTGTGCCTCGGCATGCTTCCTCCACAAGACGGACAGGCAATACCAGTGAAAGGCAGGGGCTGGATGCCGATGACTGGCAGGCTGGCAGGCTGGCTGGCTGGCTGGCTGGATGGCTGGATGGCCGGACGGACGACATGTACTCATTACTGTTTCCGCAGCGATAAGCAATAGACGACGACGCTGTCGACATCTATTCTACTCCGTAAACGAAGCTCAACGCAGACGCAGCCGCAGACCCAGCCCCAGCACGCATACGAGTACATTTCATTATATGGAAACATTTCTACTTCTGCGAGTACTGCTAGATTGTTGTGTGGGGGCGATAGAGAAATACAAAACAGAAATGGGTGGAATCGCTCGATAATGATAAATTTCTTTTAATTTCTTGGAAAACTCCAATTATCATTATCGCTCAACACAAAACAACTTTGTAGGACAGCGAAACTTCTAAGTTACGAACAGCACTACTCGCATACTCGTCTGCTCGTATGCTCGACCCGACTGTTATCAAAACCATGTAAATTGATATATTTGAACACAGAAAGTCACTAAAAATTGCCTTTTCTTCCTAAAACTATGGAGGGAACGTAGCTGTTCAGATAAAGGCCTTGAGCGTCGCTACCTTTCCCCTCCGATCCTCCGTTCCACCGTTCCACCCATCAGTTTTTTTCTTCTCTGTTGTTCTGTTCTATTCTGTTCTGTTCTATCATATCTAGCTATTTTGCGAAAGTTTTCTTGAGTAACGCCAATGTGCGTGCTCCTCCCGGAACGACCCATTCTTAAACAAGAAAACCCAACTAAGATTCTGATTCAGGGTGTGTTGTATATTTTGGTGTCTGATGTTTGGTAGCCTGCCCGGCTAGATTCGATTAGATTTTGGTCTCTTTTCACAGTCAATTTGTTGAATTCGGGGTCTGTTGGTGAGTGGACATTTTTATGGGTCTACTTTGGGACAGAGACAGGTTTGTTCGTGGGACAGCTTTGAGATTGGAGCGCTCTTAGGTAAGCGAGCACATGCATACAAACACATGCACATACACATACTCATACCAATACAAATTCGAACTATTTAATATGCAGAGAAAGAAGGAAAACCATCAGTAGGGACGAGGGAGCCTTTACTTAATTTGGTTTTTCTTTCTGCCTTTTCAAATCGATCATCAACTTAGCATTCAACTCATGAATAAGTTCACGTTTTCCCCCCTAACTGATAAGCTTAATGTGGGTCATTAAAATGTTTTTCTTTGGATTTTTAAATGCAATTTCGTTTTCGTAGAAACACGACACGAAACCTGAAACCTTAAAATGTGAACAGAAATGACTTAATAATCTTGTACTAAACTTGTCTCCGGTCAGGGATTACAGTTCAAAGGGTCGGTTCATCCAGTTCGGGCCAATAGTCAAATGCTAAAAGAGAAATATTTCCACATCTGTTGCGGTGAGTGTGAGCAAGCCCAATACGAGTCTACGATTATACCAGTATACTGTCTCGTGTCTCGTAGAATGTTGACGAACATTGCCTTATCGTTTCGCTTGCTCAAGTGTTCGGTTTTAGCTTTCCCCGTATACCATATACCATATATACCTTATACACCATATACTACTTGGCCTGGCTCATATCAAGCATACTATTTTCTGTAACAAAAGTTCTCAAGTAGGAGTATCAATCGATAAAGAGACAGAGACTCATGCCCTGCTAATAAATTAAACACTCACCGGATCTAAATCGGAATCCCATATATCTTTGAGGTCGCCATCGTAGAATTCCATGGTTCTTTAAGGTTGATTCTTTTTGGATGCGATGCGATCTAAGAAGTCTGTCTCTGTTGATCTGCCGGTTGGGTTTTCGGGATGATTTGGGTCCACTTCTGTTGTTTCTGTGTTAACCCACTTAGGACTGTCTGCTTAGTGCTTATTATTATATTATTCTCATAGAATTTTATAAATTTCTCTGCCTGAATTCTTTTATATTTCTTTTTTCTTATATTTTCTCTTCGCGCTCTCTTTTATTTTCTTTTCTCTTCTCCTTTTCTCTTTTCGAGCGAACAGTTCTGGGCGATGACTTATTAAGGGGAAACCTGTTGCTTCCAGAGAATGTTTTCACTTGACATTGTTATGGTCTGTGTGTTTGTGTGTGTGCTCGTTTGTGTTTGTGTGTGTATGATTCTGTCGGGCCGGGCCGTTCGCGTGTGTATTTGTGTGTATCTGTGTGCGGATCTAACTTGGTTTACAACTTGCGGCCGGATTCAACTTGTTGCATGCTTTATTCTCCTCTTAGTATATTTCTCTTAAACATTAATTGAATTATTTACTTTTTTCCGTTTCGGAAACACTCGTTTTTCATAAAAAAAAAGTATTTATATTTTTTGCTTTCGGCTTGAGTACCTGGCAATTTAGTTTATGTATTTGATTTCTTTTATTTTCCGTGTTTTGTGTCGGATTGCGATTTAAATTGATTTAATTTAATTTTTTCGATTGCTCTCTGTTTATGGTACAGTGGCTTTGCCGGGCCCATGAATAATAATGGCATTTAATATGTGTGGTTAATATTATTAACAATATGAATACCGGTAGTGCGACCGCAGCCAAAAACGAAACGATTGTTTGATAATTTTATACTTTAGATGATGTTTTTTGTCAAAAAAATTGATATTCTTGTGGTATATAACGGAACTAGATTTCGTAGCAAAATTCGACACTATGTTGTTTCATTGTTCGCGGCTAAAATTTTTGTGAGACCATTTTCCACTTTCTGGCTTCAATATGCACATCTTTACTGCTCATGTTGCTAGAGAACATGTTGCCGCAAGTCTAAAAAGCCGGTTCGAACAAACCAAAGAGAGCGTTTTTACTCAATTTTGCGTCTCAAATATGAGAGACATGGTAAAACTCACGGTAGGTACGGCCCCTGCGATGGCCTAAGTAGTTTACCACCCGGCTTACTGTATATGATAAACGATATATAAAATCCATTTTGCGGTATATTAGGTGAAAAAAAGCTTAAAGAAAGTGGCAGATTCCAATGCATCATATGTACGAATTTTCTCGCAGCATTACAAAATGGGTACAAGAATGAAAGAATTCTTGAAATCCGCAGTCCCACTTTTTTTACTTTTTACCCTTTTGCTTCACACAGATTGTTTTACGCTTACTTTTACATTCAAGTATGTTTCAAAGTGGATTTTATGTACATACATTTCATTCAGAGCCAAAGAGAAAACGATCTCTTCGGATAACTTTCACGCTCTTTGGAGCTGGTCTAAAGTGAATGTAAGCCGGCTTTGACGTAGAGCCGAGACTCTCTGCATAGGAAAGGAAAACAAGTTTCTTCCGACGCGCTGCGCTGCGTTGCGGCAACATTTGTTAACCTGTTTTTTATTATAGATTTTTTGTTGGTATTTGATTTGGCCTGCGAGGGTTCCGTTCCCCTCTACCGCCAGACCAGACCAGACCTGACTTTGGTTGCCGCTTGGCAACCCCAGGGCCGGCTCTAGTCTTGCGATCGGTTGATCTTGTCAACTTGACCAAGTTATTTGAACTATGCACATGTGCAGTCCATACTTATAGCTAAGCCTTTTGCTTTGTCATTTGAAGGCAGGCAGGCTGTTGCCGGAGTCGTTGCCGTTGTCGTTGTCGTTGCCGTTGCCGGGTTTGGGGCCGGGCTCGGTCGGAACCGACCAGGCCGGACTGCAGCAGCGACGTCAGAGACGGCATAAAGTGAATGTACTTTCGAAGCAAAGATCCGGTTTAAAGCTGCCTTTGCCTTTGCCTGGGCAAGAGATACATCGTCAGACGATGACAACTACACTAATAAAGCGGCGACGACAAAATGCTTGTGTAATACATATGGATAGGAGTAGCCATAGCCCCATGCATGTCATGTGCACCCAACATGACCCAACATTAAACATGGAAATGGACAATGATTTGTGTTGAGAAGAACTCTATCCACAAATATGTAGTTATTATTTATTTTAATACCCATAATTTCCAAATATAGTAAATGGCTTAAATAGTAAATCGAATCGAAATTCCGCAAAAGCATACGCTCAGATCAATGAGCTCTGATAGCTGAACGGACAAGCAAGACGGCACAGTGAGAGAGATTAGTATATCTACATACATATGTACATACCTAAGAGTATGTACTTACATACATATGTACATACATATGAACGCCCTCATGAAGGCAGAGTAAATTTATTTTGTCCAGACTTAACGTATCTATTATATCAATCAGACACACTTTCTAGGTGGGGAAACCCCGAAGATGATCTTGCCACTTTTCGGACACTCTTCTTCACTTTGCTGTGGGGCCAATACCAGCTCTTGATCAATTTGCGAGGTACCGTTTATTTTATTTTGGAAAGATTAATTAGAAGATGAATATACATACATATATGTATGTATGTCTATTTTATGTAGTCAGATTTTAATTGCAAGCGATTGACCCTAGCTGTCGCGCGTACCGAGCCATAATTCGTCAAATTACTCCACCCAAAACATTCGCAGGAGCACCACCTATATTTTGTTTGCTTATGTATGTCATATGTACATACATACATATTTGAATCGCGATCCCATCAACATCATTAATGTGCATTGTGTGCGAGCGGGTATGCGCGTATACCGCTGGCAATGGATGTGTGAGTGAGCGCTTGTATTGTACATTAAATGCATGTAATAATTCGTCATGCTGGCCGCATTTGAACCCGTATATTCGTATTCGTATTCGTATCTCACATTTTTCTCTTTAATGGAGGGACACTTTGTGTTGGGTTGCTTGACTCTCGGGCTCGAGCCGGACTTCTGTTTAGGAGAGGCAAGCAGACGCTGGCAGTGGGGGGAATCGAAACCAAACCAAACCCCATCCGCCCCTAATTTGCAAGGCAGAAATACCGATAGCGATTCTCTTAGCTCGGTTCTACGCTTCTCTTTTGTTCTCTTGACAGCCAGCGGCGATCGTGAGCTTCTCGCTTCAAGTGGCTTTTACAGTTATATAGCTGCGAGTATATGTATGTAGATACTTATACACATACACATATCTATAGAGAGGGAGAGAGAGACAGAGAGAGAAATGTACATTTGTATCGCATGGCTCTGGTACAAACATTTTTCGCCACTGACTCGTATGTATGTACATATACTTTTCTTCATTTTGCTTCTCTTTTTTTTAATATATTAGGTGTATGTATTTATTTATTATTTGATTTGTGAATCACATCGAAAAGTTATAGTGTCTGTCCGTGGATGGGGGTGTGTGTGTGTGCTGCAGAGTGTTCCCTGGAAATGTAAAGACACAACAGTTGGGCTGCTGTTGAGAGAAAAGTAGAAGATGGGGCGGCGGATGCGGCGACGAAGGTGTGTCTCTTCGTTGGGACACTCTCGTTAGTGGCTCGTTTCTTGTTTATCTGTGGCAGTATTTTAATCTGCACTTGAGATTTTCTTTAAAATATAATTTAGCATTATGCCATCAACTTTTGATTAGATTCCTGTGCTGTGACGGCTTTTGGCTTGATAATTTAACAACTTACTTCCCCTATGAATGAATTTTTGTTATTGCGGGTGATTCCTCTTATCAGAAGTACAAAAATCCCTGCAAATATTTGCTGCCGTTCTTTCGGAATGGAATGGGATGGAATGGAATTGTAAACCCCGTATAAAAAGCAATTGCTGCTCGAGAAAGTTGAACGCTCTCTTTCGAGAGCATTACTCGCAAATGCTTTTCCAGGCTAGAACTGTATTTAATGTACATATGTACATGTGCTACTCATGATGTTTCTGGGGAATCTTTCCCGATAAGTATGCGAGTGGCAGGACACAAGGGACGGCTTATCAGGGTGCTGGCATGAGTCACTCCCTAGCAATTCCTGGGGATCAGTTGTGTTGACGTTCACTTTCCCAGCGCCCCCGGAGAGTTCCCTTATCTTGACCAAATTTCGGTACTGTGTACCAATACCATTCGAACTCTCTTCTTGAATGATATTTGTATGTACTATAATTAGCTAAATACATAGTACATATAGGAAAACGCAGCTGTGCCTTTGCCTTTTTGCTCGGTAAAAAACAGTAATATGCAAAAAACATATGCCAAGCCATCTAAAAATATGTACAAAATACATGTGTGTGTCTGAATATGTATGTTCAATTAGCCCAAACCATATTACGATCTACCATCTACCATATACGGCTATCTACGAGTATTCAGTTAATTCCTCTCGCCGAATTTGCTGGCAAGACAAAAGGTGCGATATACTTCATTCTGACCCAGTTTATCATTATCACTTTGACAACCCCCCCACCTGGCCCCCTTCGTACCGTACCTGCCGTTTGCAGACACCCTACGCAATTACTTTTCCCCGAAAATGATGAAAAATGATCTCATCCCACTGCTGCTCCTCTCCCTCAGTCGATCGTGTCATCGTTATATTTCATTCCACTTGTTTTGGCTCCACGAAAAGGTATCGTACATATCTTTAAACGGCACGGTGGCCAATGATATTAACACACGGCTGTAAATAAATGCACATGTGGATTGTAAATTAAGTATACAATTCGTAGATCGAAACATTCATTGTACACGAGTATCTGTGTGTGGGGTGGGGGCAAATATGAGGCATCGTAGCAGACATTTCGACGTCGCGTCCGTTGTCTTGTCTTTACAACTGAATCCACACATCGTAGCGTGCCGTGCCGTGCCGTGCCGTTCCATGCCATACCATGCCATGCCGTCTCGTCCCGTCATGTGCATTGAGCTGTCTTTTGTTCTGGCTCGATCGATCTTTCCGTTCCGTTCATCTGTCGATTGCATTTAAGGCAAATATCCCTTATAAGAAATGTCTATAGCACAAAAGACAGTACAACAACAGAAGATTGGTTACGTTCGCACTTGTTTAAATACTTTGATAAAGAACTTCCACTTCTTACCTGCATCTGTATCTGTGTTTGTGTCTGTGTATCTGCTGCTGTACCTGTGCTCGTGTTGGTTTTTGTTTATTTTTACTTTAAACTTTTTTTATAATTTCTTTCCTTCTTGCTCTTACAGGTGCACGATAAAGCTGACCATCATAGACCAGCGGCGACCAGCAGCGACCAGCAGCACCTATTTATGTCTTATCGTCGGTGGAAATGCTTGACAATAAATTAGAATTTGTGCAAATTGTCCCAGCCCAGCCGATCCACTCCACTCCACTCCACTCCACTCGATGGTCCCGCCATGATCGTGCAAATAATAGAGTCAAAACTGAAGAAGCAAAAGCCCTCAGGCAAATCGCAGATCTCTGTGATTTATACCATAACAAAATAAAACCTAAAAAAAATCAAACAATAACCACAGAGTCGAACTCTGGGTACTCTACCCGTATGTCCTTTTTGAGGAATCAACTAGTGGGATCACCATGGAGACGCCCCTTTTTGGGGTGTAGAATCTAGATGAATTATGTCCATACAGCAGGGTATCTCCCAGTCGAGCCACGTCATTAAATACTCGAATGGGCTGCCTGCTTGGGCTTGGTGCCTTCGATTGTGGCTATCCATAAGCAAAATACGGACAATGCGGCGTTTGCTGAGGTCAACGATTTCTGTTACGTTGTCTTTCACGCTTTTGACGCTTTTTTTGTGACTTGGTCTAAGAGTGTGTGCGTGAATATGAATTTATAAGTTTTGCGGCTTATGTAAACCATTCAGCAAAATGAGTGGAAGTGCCACCATCGAAATATGTAATGGGCAAGAGAGTGTGGCCTGGCCTGGTCTGGTCTGCACGCCAGTGATGACATAATGGAAAACAGTTGCGAATCAATACGAAGAAGCTGTAAGGTGATTCATGGAGAATTCATCGTAGAATATTTTGTAATACAATGAACCTCAGTGGCAGGCGTCTAAAGATACACATCTTGAAGGTCTTCTGATAAACGCTATTCAATTAGACTAAAATGAAATGCATGTCTGCAGCGATACTCCTATTTTCGGCAACTGTGTCGAAAATATCCGCATAAATATAATGGAGAGGCTGCTGGGTTCCCTCAGTTACCTGAAGAACTTACCCGAAGAACTTACCAAAAAATGTCCAAATATCTATCGTACCTCTGGCTGGTTCTGCTGTGGAGCGGCATGTCACATGGAGATCACTTTGATGAGTGTGACGGAATGGCCGACGAGTCGTTTGTCCAAAGCTTAGACAGCTGTCAGTCCTATGTGTACTGCATGGGCGAGGACTCGCTGAAGGGCGATTGCGATGATGGTGAATACTTCGATGCCGAGTCGGGGGGCTGTGATGATGCTGCCAATGTGCAGTGCTTTCTGGACGAGGTCGACGAGCCGGAGCTGGAGCCGGAGCCGGAGCCGGAGCCGGAAGAGGCAGAAGAGGAGGAGCTCACACCAGCCACGGCACCTCCAACGGATCCAGCACCACCGGTGGACCAGTCCACCGAAGTGGATATCCTCAACATTGCGCCGGTGGTGAAGCCCAATTGTCCGATCAGCGACGACCCCAGCCAGGTCATACTCATGGCCAGTAACGAATCATGCACAAATTATTATCTGTGCTATCACGGACATGCCATGGAAATGCACTGCACCAACCAGCTGTACTTCAATGCCCTCACCGGGCAATGCGACCACGCGGAGAACGTTCAGTGTGCGGTAGGTCTGAGAAGATTGAAAGATATCGATCGATTTACATTGAATACTTTTCCAGCTGGAAGATCCGCGCGCCCACAAATGCCTGCCCCATATGACAGAGTTCTTTCCGCACCCGGACAAATGCAATTACTTCTATTACTGCATCAAGGGCTTCCTGACAATACAGCAGTGCCCCTTTTACTATGGCTGGGACATCGAGCGAAGGAGTTGTGTGCAGATAAATGTGGCGAAATGCTATGGAAACTCCCGGCGAACATAAGCACGTCTGTGCTTCCGGTCTCGGAAAGCCCAAAGCAGCCAGAAAAACTAATTTCAGTTCCATAGAGTTGTGTACACGTAGGAGATAAGAGGGGATATTTATTGATAAGTTACAGCGTTTAATTAAATATAACTTATTTCAAATATCTTGATTGCCACCTGCTGAACAGTGTCGACTATAAAAAGCTTAGCACACAGCTCCACATCCATACTGATCGACAATGGGGCCCTCCTTGCGCTTTGACTTTGGCCTGATCGTTTGTGGCGCTATTATCGTGGCCTGTGGCATCCATGGCCTCAACATTACAGAATGCAATAATCAATTCGGATTCATAAACAACACGCGGCCCAACTGCACCTATGCCTACATCAACTGCTCTGGCCAGGACTCGACGTTCTGTGTGGACAACATCACTTGCAATGTCGCCTTCTATTGCAACGAGCCAATCATTTCGGGCAATTCCACTGTTGCGCCGCTTAATTCAACGTCGACGTCGACGTCAACGTCAACTTCAACGTCACGATCGCCGACCCTCTCCACAGCCTCGCCGCTGGATGTGCGAGAGCAGTGTCATCAGGGGGTAACCAAAAGGTTCAGCTATCCCCAGAATTGTAACTACTTTTACTACTGCGTGGACGGCTTTCTGCTGGTGGAGCAGTGTCCCATTGGATATGCATTCAATGCTACGACTGGAGCTTGCGGCGGACGTACACGGAGCTCCATGGACTGTACTGTACGCTGAAGTAGTGAGAGCTAAAGTAGAGAAAACATTTTTAATTAGCCCCGTGTCTTGTCAAATAAAATCAATTTAGCTAGCAAATAAATTGAGCTTATAGCCAGAGCCTTATCTCATTGACGAGCGAACCGAAGCGAACTCCCACCTATAAAGGAGGCCCTGACCTGGAAGATGGGAACAGTTGAAAGCCTATATGTGGAAGTTGTTGTTACTCTTTGGCTGCCTGCTGCCTGGCCATCAGGTGGGGGCGGCATTCCTACAAGAATGTCAGGGAGTGATCATTAATAAGGTGACAAATCCCGACCAGTCGTGCAGCGAGTTCGTTCACTGTAACGGAGACGATTCCTACTACTGTAATGGGGATTGCCTGGAGCCTGTTGATTGCTATGGTGCAAATGAAGAACAAATCGTTTCCCCTGCACCAGAACCCGCCGTACCGGAAAACCCCAAGCCAGATAGCACATCTGCCCCAACGACATCGAGTCCTCGCCCATCATATACGATTAGCCCTACTTCAGCAGCCTCAACAGCCTCAGCAGCCTCAACAGCCGCACCAGCAGTAGCAGCAACAACCATTTCGAGCACCGATGTCCATGTAATCTGCAAGACGAGCGGCCGAAACAAGGTCTATCCCTACCCGGCCAATATTAACTACTACTATCAATGTATGGGAGATTTTCTCCTTATCCAGCAGTGCCCGCAGAATTTTCATTTCGATGCCGCGCAAGAACAATGTATTGCGACAAAACCTTATCGCATGATACGGCTATTCATGTAAGATTCCCCAGAGAGTCGTTAATAAAGAAGATACCAACCGTGTTCCTAAGCAAATTAAATTCCTATACTCGTATACTCCCAAATGACGGCAAGAAAACCCCGCTGACTACACAGTCACATGAGTAGTTGACTTTTTGGAACGATACAGAGAAGATGTCGAAGCTTTGTGTTTTCTTGTTTCTAATGGGCTTCCTTCTTGGCAGATGCCAGGCGGACGAATTTGCCGAGTGCATTGGCAATGATGGGGGCTTTGTTTCCTCTCAAAAGAGCTGCGCACACTACATTTTCTGTAACGGAAATGATTCATATGACGGTGAATGCCCTGACGGCGAATACTTCAGCTCCGATACGGAAATGTGCGAGCCAATGGGCGATATTGATTGTCGCTCAGGACAGGCTATGGAGACGGATAATACACCAGAATTAGATTCTAGTACAGATAGCTCAACAGTTGTCCATACTGAATCGCCTCCTAATAGTACTCTAGCAGCCGAATCACTGAACGCCACATCAACTCCAACGTCCATCGATGGCCCAGGGAGCAACACGACAGTATTTGCCCCGAGTGTGGAGATAATTGTGACCAGTATTTGCCCACGAGAGGATAACAAGAGCCGCATCATATTAATGGCAAATCAAAATTCCTGCACGGACTACTATGTTTGCTATCAGGGTGAACCGTATCCCATGAACTGTGCGGCCACCTTGCACTTCAATCCCGGCACTGGCAAATGCGATCATCCCGAGAATGTGCGATGCCTGGTGGGTTTAACAGATAGAAGATTCTTATAAGCAATACCTTCAAAATTGTTATATTCTTTTAGGCAACCACAAACAATCCCCGGGAGCAGTGCAAACGACATACAATGGATATTTACCCGCACCCAGATAATTGCAATTATTTCTACCAATGTCGCCTGGGATACTTAATTGTACAGCAGTGTCCTTTCTTTTATGGCTGGGACCACGAGAAACGATCCTGTGTGGTTCTCAGCCAGGCCAAGTGCTATAACCAAAGCAAATTTCAATGAAATGATAATAAAACTTTAGTATGTACTCTCAGCTTTGGGGACATTCTTTGATTGTAGGTCACTCTTGTGTACTCTAAACAAATTAGTTTTAGATAATAGTAAACTTATTTGAAGATATTAATGATATTCAGTATTCATTAAATCACAGCTATACTAATGAGCCTTTAATGCGTTCGATCATTACGAATCCTGCATTCAGTCAGATTCGAATCACCCCGAATCACCTCACTGAAAACCGAATCCGAGCACTGTGGATTACATCAGCAAGTTTAGTTCGTATATCCTCTGACTTTCAGAGAATTGCTCGGCACCCATGACCTACACATGACAAGACCTTCTTCGAGTCCCGAATCCAAACGAATCGATTCGGTTGCCGGTTCATGCAGGACTCTAGTACATGTGTCAATTTTTAGCTGGGAAGCACATTTCGTAGCATCACTAAGGGCGCTCAGCCTTGAAAATAACTTTCGCTGGAGCTGCGTTGTGAATCATGCTAACTCATATCTGATCTGATATCATATCTTTGCTAAGAATGAACCCTGGACCAAAACAAGTGCTAAAATCAGACGAATCGAACTGGAGGCGAAAAGGAACCATTGACCGATATCAACCATTTACTCGACAAGGTCATCGAACATAATTGCAGGTGGCTACGCCACTCATCTCTCCGAGGTAATCTCGGTATTCCTTTTTTTTTGAGGTTTCTGAAATCAATAGTGCGGGATGTGTCTCAATGCCATCAATCGATTGGTTGAAGGGGAAAGAAACGGAAGTTTTTTGCAAAAAAAAATTGTATCTGAAATAGTTTGTTGTTTTGGCCCCGTTATCGACTTCTTCTACACGCAGTTGAAAATGTTAATTTTCTGATATTGAGGGCGAGGTATCTAGACGTCGCCTGTATGGCATATATGCCAAGTTCTTCGTGTAATACGTTATTAGAATAAAACTGCGCTTTACTGGAGCTTGACACACGAATCAGGATGAATACGATGAAATTCAATACAAGTAGATACAATCATGTAATTTAAAAGTTAAATAAAATAGCCACTGTCTCTCCACTTCTAGCAGTAATTGGTTTTTTGGTGCTAAGCTGTATGGCCGCGGCCCAGAAAAACTGGAAGCTCTGGAAGCCCACTAATTCGGTGACCATACGACAGAATGGCGGAAGCCTGTGTGCCAATCATTTGGTTGGTGAATTTGTGCCGCATGCTGAAGACTGCCAAATGTTTTATCTTTGCGTGGAGAACGGTGATGCTGTCTTGGCCTCCTGTCCGCCCACAATGCTCTTCAATTCTGATACCAAGCTCTGCGATACAGCGGGGAATGTGAGATGCAGAAACGACACAAAGAGCGGCATGGAAAACGCAATTCCGCCGAACGCCGGTGACAACGATTTCAACAACATGATTACGGATGCGGCTACCTACTGTGCCACGTTAACGCAACAGCAGTCCAACGATCGGATCGTTTATATAGGCAGCTCCAGCAGCTGTAGCAATTACTACATCTGCTATTATGGACAGGCTATACTGCAGGAGTGCAGCTCGGAACTGCATTGGAATGCGATGACTGGAAAGTGCGATGTACCGGAGAGGGCCCAATGCACGTTGGGTGCTCCTGAAGAGGATCCTTCTACGAATCCAACTGCTCCCAATGGGAACATAAACTCGGGTGTAGCTGTGTGGAATGAGTTCATCCACTGCCCCACCTACGGACAACATCTGTATCCCCATATGCAGCGATGCGAGTTTTTCATTTACTGTGTGAAAGGACATCCCACTCTGCAGCAATGTCCGTTTTATTATTTCTTTGATATTGCCTCAAAAAGTTGTCAGTGGTCGCGTACGGCTTTGTGTGTACGTGATTTAAATTTGCCGCCCCAAATAAAACGACAAACCTGACTCTACCACTTGTGTGTTTACTGATTTTCTTATCGATTTCCCCCACGTTCCAACACTAGTGTATCGTTTTGTCTATTGCTATTTCTGTCTTGCAGTCTAGATTGGATTTGAAGTCTGGTGGAATTCAAGCACCATAAAATAAGTATTTTATATGTATATTCTTTAATATGAATTTTGGAGTCAAGCAATCCAGGTACTGGCATCTAGCCTGGCGGACCTATTATGCCTATTACTCGTGGGATCTACATAGACCACTGTTTCGATCCGTCGTACAGGACGGATCAGCTATGATATCCACGATTCAGAGGTTCATTTTGGGGAAGATTGTGCCCATGGGAGCTGGGACTATTTATTATCGTCAACTAATATGCAAAAAACATAACTTTAAATCGTTGGAGACGATGTAGCGTAGCAAATAGTACGCTCCATTGTCTTAAAACATGGCGGATATTTGGTTTCGGCTTATTTCGATATGATGGGTGAATTTATGCATAAAAATAACTAATATTCGCCTAGTGCCGTACGAAATCCGTCCCAAAGAGTTTAGGGCTAAATAAAAGCTAAGAAACATGCCAAGCTGAGTAATTTCAAGTCATATACGCTTTATTAAAACACAAAATTAACGAGGATTCTAATGGCCATATGACACTAGACTTTGCTAACCGACTAAATGCAAAAACAGAGATGGCCATTGCGAAAAGCAAGCAGTGAGAGCGAGAGATATGCTTATATGAATGCGTCAGTTTGGCTTTACAGCTGAGCAGGGAGCAGCAATTATCGATTGTTATACGTTTTACATCCAATTTTTCTGTCTGACTGAGTGTGCGTGATGGAAAACATCTTTTTGTCCCAAAATGTGTTGCAGTTCTTCGACTGATAGCCGGGAGACGTGTCCAAAGACGGCAACGAACACCAATTTTGCGTGTTGTCACTCACGATATCTCTGTCTTCGCAGCAAAGTTAGCAAAGTCTAATGTTATAGCACCATAAGCTCTAAAAAGTAATTCAGATTATCGATAGTGGTCTATAAACATCGATAGAATTAATGATCAATGCTTCTCCATCTCTAGTGTTGTACAAAGACAAATGTTTCATCTCTAGGAAAATAAATTTAAGGTAAATAAAAAAATAAAACAAGTAAACAAACCTGCTCAAACATGTAAGAAAATCACTTCAGAGTTAAAACGAAAAAATAATTTTTGTAAAACGTGAAATTAAAACACCGCTTGCTTCAAATTGTTACCAAGCCGCAGGTAATCAATTTATTTAAATATACGAACAGCGAAATCGAGTCCCTGGAGCGAACAAGGCAACTAGGTGATTATTGCCCAAAAATTGTCGTTCATTTGTGCACACGTAAGAAACAAAAGAAAACATACGAAAACTTAATGGAAAATATGCTGCAAAATTTGCGAAGTATTTTTCGCAAACGACGTCACTGCAGTGAAGAAACGCCGCCGCCTTCTGAGGGCCCTGAGCTCCATCCTCGATTTCCTTGCGGTGATGACGAGGGGTCGGGGCCGGGGCCGGGGTCCAATGATGACTATAGTGTCGCCTGGCCGGACGCATATTTTAACAGCACACCAGCCGATAGGTAATTAAATACTAAATGAGCACTCCGTCTCTCTCTCTCTTCTTACAGCTTGCGTGTGTGTGTGTGTATAAACAAAATATAAAAAATAAGCAAAAGCATCAAACACTTCTCCGACACCTACTCAAAAAGCTTAAGACATTCCAAAAGTAGCCACCAAACGGCCAAAATCGAAGCCACAGTAGGCAGCAAGCAGCACGGAGACCCACAGCGATTAACACTTGTTTGGAAAACGCAAACGCAGGCAGTTTGATTTCACTCTGGATCAGCCGCAGGAGATGGAAATTGATGCGCAATCAGCGCAGCGTCCCAGCGAGAATCATCTTCATCAACAACAAAACTCATCCAGCGTCCACCACTCGGAGTCACCAATGAATTTCGACTATTTGCACAGCCTTCGTTCAGGCGCGGTGCCTTCCACATCCACAGCAGTCTCCAGCGCCAGTGACAATGGCAGCAACAGCTCATATGGACTAGTCGACGACAGTAGAGCACTGGACAGGTTGTTATTCCATCCTACATAAAATCAATCAAAACTTGTAGAGACCACAACACAAAACGACAGGCACAAACGTTTCATTTCTTTTGTTATTTCCCCACCTCACACTGCTACCAGCTTCATTCGTTTATTTTTGTATAACATAATGGTGATAGCTAAAGTACCTCCGAAAGACGCCCACACAGCTTCGAAACCTGTGTGTAAGCGGCTCTCAGGTCATTATTTGTAGACCTTATGTATTTCTATAAGTGGAGAGCTGAGCCATAGCAGAGCGGTCTAACAGTCTTAATTTGCTTGTTTCTTTTCATATGAAAACCAATGAACCCGATGAAAACATTCAACAGATCAATAAATGCTAACGAGAGGTAAATACGAATTAAATATTTGCAAACTATTACTAAACTCTGAACAACTTACAGATTTGTTAACATATTGGATCAGATTGATGCACGTGTAGAGAAGCTTCGCAAGGATGCTCTCAATTTACAAGAGATGAAAGACTACCTTTTAATGTCTATGGATCTGATCAAGAGCAATGATAAGCTTCAGAAGATGAGAGAGTGTAAGTAGATTGTTCACATAATACCTCACGGAAAGGGGAAACGGATAACAATGTAATCCCTCTCTTCCCCTGTAGCCGAGCGCGAGGAGATCATGTTGTACATACAGCGCGTCAGCTCACGCCTGGGAACTGTTGAGCTAAATGTGCGCACAGTGCGTGACAACTCTCAGGAGGATTCTCTTAGTCAAATAAATTCTTTGATCGACACTATGATAAAAATGGGAGATCCAGTGATCGGCCGCCAACGTTGCCAGCTGTACTTGAACGCGTGCTGCAGTAGTGCCATGGATCCGTCTGGACATCTGGACACTCTGTCCGAGGCCGATGTCGGACCGATCGACAAGAAATTTGAGAGCGCTCTACTTGGTTGTACTTTGGACGACCAGAAGAACATCAAGAAGCGATTGCAGGCCCTAATGGGTTACTTAAACAAGCAAACTGTTAGCCATTAATTTGATTGTTTTTGACCCATTTAAAGTACATAGCATTATTATCGAACCAAAACGAATCACGTCACCAAATAAAAACAAGTAAACGAAATGCACGGAATATAAACAATTCTGAGTCTTTTGGGAACGTTCGAATCAGTTTTGGCCAAATAGTATTGATTAAGCGGCGGAAAGGTCTTACAATTTGTTTGCTTTTGGTTTATATATTTAGTCATTTTAAGTAACAGTTTAAATGTGCATATCGTTTTACAACATTCCAGGAAAACACATATCTTGTGTCTTCAAGACACGATCACTTAGTACCCACACGGCGCCATTGGTGCCAAAAAAGATTTGTTGTATGTTTTTCGATGTCAGATAGATGATTTCGTTGCCCTCGGCCGTGATGTTAGCCAGCTGGACACACCGCACTACCGCTCCAAACTTGGATATGGCATAGTACAAGGTTCCCAAGCTGTCCATGACCATGCTGCGAGCCTTGCCCAAAAGGGTGCCCAGACGGGTGAGTTGTATGTGTTTTTTTGCTAGAGAATTGGAGGAAAATGCAGCATTCTCTTCCCATTGCAGAACGTCTACGGAGCTATAGAGCCCGCCATCTTGATCGGCAACAATTAACTCGCCCTGAAGACCAAAAGTGAAGTCGATTGGCTTGATGGGAAATGATTGCTGCATGCTCTCGTACTTGTGGCTCTTCAGGGAACGACTTCGCCAGGTCTGCTCCAGTATATCGTAGGCCAGAATATGCGGGCTTTGGCCCTGGATGAAATATATGTGTCGTTCAAGTTTGCAGCTCTCTATCCTGGGTCCCAGTTTTACAACCAAGCTTTGGGTGTTGTTGGAGTCAATGTGCTGACCGCAGTCAATTCTTAGGAGCTCCGCATTGTTGCGTATCAAATCAAAGACGAACAGCCTGGGGGAACACCTGCTGCCCGGCCAGCCGATATCCATAACCCACAAGCGACTGAGGCTGTCCACCTGCGACCAATGCGCTTGCTGCAGCAGCGTACAATCGGAATGAGCCCCATTCGCGTGTACGTCGCGGTGGGGAAATATCAGAGTTGGCATTGGAAAGCGCGATACCGGCCACTGGGCCTCGATGAGTGTGGGTGAATCGTTCCCTTTTACTGTCACACTGAGAAATACTCTCGAGTAATGCATCGACAAATGACGGACACTGTAGCTGGATTCGTTGACGCCAGCCTTGGGCAACAGCCACGCTGCATTCGCAGTCGCCTGAGCAAGAACCAGCAAAACGAAGGGAACCTTCTGTGTGACCATCTTTGGATACAAACTGAATAAAACTGAGCTTGGAGCGTGTGGTTTGCTGATATACATAGGTTTTCAAAGAACTCGTTCAAATCGCTTAGATCAGCAATTGGTTTCATGTGTCGCCATAAAAAAATTGATTTCAGCGACCTGCATTAATGGGGACTAACAGACTGAAATGGGTTTTTATGTTGGCTATCGACGTTTGGTCAACATTATGTGTGTTGAAGAGAAATTATTTAGTAGATACATATGATTTTCAGATTCGTACCAAAACCTTATCAGAGATTCGCAGGTTTATTGATTATTGCGCTACAATCTATGTTATAATTTACTTGTAGATTTCCAGTGCTATTAAACAATTAACTTGGCTAAGGTAAATCCCCGAAAAATGTTCATCACGAATAATAATCCTTTCAAGAGGGCTCCTAACGAACTTGATACGAAATTTTCCCTGTTGATTAGTAATTTAAGAATAGAAAACTGCTCGTCCCAACCTCTTCTAGCCGAAAGTGTGGTCTATTTCCTGTCTATAATCAATCTTCAACTGTATACTGTTATCTCTGACTCTGACCGATTTGTCACTGCCACTGCATGGTTTGACTGTTCCCTTGTCTGTTTTCTGAATCACCTGGAAATATCTGTGCCAGCCCAATCAAATACGCTAAAGTTTTATAGATCATAAATATAGATGTATTTGCTTCTTAAAATACTCAAGATGTCTGCCCTATGGTTTGATTTAAGTAATGATTTTGGTTTTTTTCAGTTTGCGCCTAAGTTTATGATTGAAGTCTGTGGAGGTGATAAGGAGTAAAATTTTACTTTGGTTTTCTCTCTCTAACTGGTGGCATTGTATATTATGTTGTCTACCAGGACGACAGTACCCACATTCAGATGGAAGGCTATTCGATGCCAGTCGGAGTCAATTGGAACACACAACCACAAAAATAACTAATGAAAGCATATTCTGTGCTTAAGTTCGTAAGCTCTTTTCCCTATCTACCTCGCACCTCTGCGTTGGAGTTAATAATAACCGACTCGTTATCAGTACAATATATTGTTTTTTCCGTCCTCTTTGAACCGATATGATTAAAGCTTTCGCTGCGTTTCCCAATACCTGTCGGCCTGATATGTGGGCAATACGAGTAGCAAACATTTCAGTTGTTAATTTGTTTTGGCCAACGACACATCGAACACCGGGAGAGCTGCGGTTAAGATTCGCCTTATTTACGACACCTTCCTTATAATTAACACATAGTACCCGTCGACTGCATTCAACATGTGCAACGCTCTCTGCGAATGTCTCAAATGCCCCGGCAAAGTGGTTTGCTGGTAAGTACGGACAGTGACTGATTTCTGACTCATTCATTGCATCACGACTGCTTGACTTCCTAAAAAATATCAAGGAATAGTACGGGACAGTTCATGGTGGTTAATTTTTGTTGCGGTTTGATCGAACAGGAACAGCATTTCCATGTCACCTCTGATATTTTCCTGTGTACTCGTAGTTCATATTCAAATATATCTTACTCTCTCTAATCCATCTGTGTTATCCATTTTAGCTGCTGTAACTGTGCCTGCAAATTGCTGATGAGCATTCTCTGCTCAATCATTGTCCTGGTCGTCGTAGTTGGATTAATTGTTTACTTCACGGTCTACTATCACAAGGATAAGGGCACCGATGACGTTCAGAAGCAGGTCTCCCAACTGACGCCCATTGTAAAGCGCAGCATACGCGACTATTTTAATAAGGAATATTGATCTAGAGCGATGAATTTATACCATAGACAACATTTTTTTCACATTTTATTAAATAACAATTATCACAAATAACAAACACTATAGTATTGTACACTGTTACATTGATTTGTACAATTTACGGTTATTACTCGACATAATCTGGACTACATCAGGCACGGCTCTGGAAGGACATCTAGAGCTGCATCTCAAGTTGGCAAGGTCAGAGGTGTATTCTGGTTAGTTTGCTCCGGATCCTGTTCCTAGACAGTCTCCTTGCCAGGACTTTGGGTGACTCCTAAGCTTGATCGTGGATAACAAAATTAATAATAATTCCCAGAAAACGAACGAAATTAACAGAATCCGCGAAGTGTGTTACTTAATCTAATCGAACCTAATGCTCATAGTGGGATTTTTCCTTATCTACGATTGTTCTGACTGAGTTCTATGGCCGTAGGTATGGCAATTTAGAATTTGTTGTAATTTTTTTTAGCGGATTCTTTATCTATTGGCCTGGTTGATAATGAAAGAGGGGAAATGTGATTCATAGAAATGATGGGTTTTTCGGTTTTTGGTTTATTTTTCCGCTGTGACAAATTCAATATGGAGACTGTATTGCTTGCTAGTACCATTTGCTCTTACGATAGTCGATCCCTTTGTTTGGTCAGGTAGTCGGTCCTCGGCGAGGGTTGAAAAATGAGTCTAGTGGCCTGTGCATGTGGGATGCATGCACTTCGACTTGAATCATTTTTCAGTTGGTCGTCAACATCAGGTTTGCAATGTCCTCAAACACTACGCTTTACTACTCAGCCGTGGAAGATATGTTCAAGGAACTGCTAACAATAGAGGTGGAACAGTTGGATACCAAGAATGTGGAAGAGTCCGACTATGAGCCGTTGGTCAACACACCGAGGCGTTGTGTTCCAAGACGTCAGCATAATCTGTTTGCCAAGGACTCGACAAGTTTTGTGATTTGTCGCCGCTCACCAAAGATCGAATCATGCTTTGAGCTGGGGACGGGGTCGGAGCTGTCGTCTAGCAGACGTCGCGAACTCCAAGCCAACCAAGTCCTTCGTTTGCGCATTGAGAGAACCGAAAAGGAGCTGAAACCACAGCGACGGCTATCCATACGGATTTAAGTGTCGTCCAACGATCTTCTCATCTGATCGCAGTGCTTCCGTGTTAGTTTAAATATTACTCATAAGGTTTTCCAACTATTGTATTTGCATAATTGTGTAGAGTTTGAAGAGGTCGTGCAGATAAATATATGCTTCAGTTACAGGATTCTTTAAAATTAAATAACATTTAGATGAGCAATTGCGAGTATAGTTATGCCAATGCCTCACATCTAGCTATTCTTGCAGGCTGTGGATACATATGTATGTATGAGCCTGTTTTGAACACACAAAATGTTTCGCATTGATTTAGTCTATGTATTTAAAAGAGGTAAATATTTAGGGAACAATGAGCCACTAAAATAGTTTAAGTCCAAAACAAATTTGTTTGTTTCTAATAATCTTTTGTTTGTTTATTATATTCCGTATGCAGCAAGCATGGAAATTTATTTTTTGGACCAGCTGTGGCATCAGTGCGCTAGAAAGAGACGGGTATAGTATACCACTGTCGATCTATGAAATTGACCACATTCACATCTGCGTCGACAGGTGGCGCCATGTCGATGTAAAGAAGATGTAAAGTGTAGAAATCATGTAGATACTCTGCGCTGCGCTGCTACACTAGCTCGTAGCAAAATTGTATTGCCTCTTGGGAGATAAATGGAATTGAGAGAATGTTTGTCATTTCAGACTCCAATATACATATGCAGAAATTAGTCAGCCTCTGTTTTAAAGCTGGTTCAACGATATTTACAAGCTTATTGTCTTCTTACAGAGACCAAGAATAGGTATCGGGATCAGGATATACATATATACAAGATACTAATAAAATTCATGAATACGTCTAAAACATATCAATATGCGAAAAGGTCTTTACTAACTACGTTTAAAAGCAGCTTGGAAAACAGTATCTACATACATATTAAACTAACAAAATAGGGTATACAAATGCCCTTACTCCGGTTGACAAGCTACAAGCAAGAAATTACATTCCATACTCACTTACGCTGCCACTTTTTTGTTGACCTTTTTTGTTCAGACCTTGTTTTAGACACAATAAAATACAAAATATGAAGTTCTTAAAAGTAGTTAATATTGTAGAAAATTTATTCATGAATGGCCTAAAATTATGTGGGAAGAGCTAAGGGATTTAGTTAGTCAGCATAATTCAACGGAATATCAAAATTGAGCAATATCTCTTACGTTTTATGTGTTTGACCTCTTTCGCTAAAACCTTTTTTAGGCAAAATACGATAAAAGCAAGTATTTAAAATAAACCAGTCAAGTCTATCTAGTTATATTCGACGGAATATCAAAAACGAGGAATATGTATAATAGAACTTGAATTCGTCAGTCGAGCTGCTGGAAGGACCTCTGCTATGAAGCGGACTTGCAAGTCGTGCTCGGCAAGTTTTGCCTTCGGGTTGGAAGCTGGGTTGTATCTCACACAACTCTTGACAGGAAACGGGTGTTTGTACACATGACATGTACTTTTTTGGCTATCCCAAATCGGGATCGGGAAGAGCTAAGCTAGGTACTAGGTACTGGTAGGCTGTTTATAGTAAATGACTTAATGGATTTCCTAAAAGCTCGTAAAACATCCAATCCTTGCGTCGCGTTGAAAGACAGCGCAATCGAAATTCAAAACCTAGATAGGGGACAATGACGGCTTTCAGTAGTCCCACACTTATCGGCTTTCAATGCTTCCCCTCCCAAACTTACTGATCTACATTTGAAATGTTCTATGTTTGCGAATGATAATGTAAATTTAAAGGGGGTTCCCGTTGCCCAAAAACTTGGTTAAAACCTGAAGACTGAGTCAAAGAATTTGCGAATAACTCTAACAGAATCAAGTACTTAAAAACAATATTTATTACCAATAAACCTTATCAAAGCCCATGCATGACTGGCTGGATTTGTGCATGTACAAAATCTAGTTGATTTAAAAAATCAAAATCAAATTGCAAATAGGATGATTTGCAAATAACTGTGTATGTTCAGCTTCTGTGTGCGCTATCGACTTTCTCAATATAAATTTGAAACAAGAAGGGCAGGCGGTTGTATTCGTGGTCGAAGCTTTTGATACTCTGCATCTGTTAAATACAATATATGATATTTATATTTGGTTGATATATAAATGCCATGACAATGTATGTATATCAACTTGCTGAATAATAATTCCATAATGATTAATTTCAACCTAAAAGTTAATAAAAATACATCTCCATAAAATTTTGTCTCGATAAGATCCTTAAACTAACAATTTACATTTAATTTGATGATAAATCGTAGTGAAATCATTAAGAGATTAATCTCTGCATTACAAAAATCTGGGCAATACTATAATGCCCTGCCCCATGCCAGAGTATAATTATTTAATGCAAATCATATTGATTACGTATGTACATATGTATGTACATATGTATATGTAGAAAGAGCCTCAGTGCTCAATGCCGACCTTTCAGTGACAGCCCCTTACGGACTGACTTGTGCCATTTTCCCTAGACTCATTGACCCTTCTTGGCTGTAAAGCGAAACCAGTGAAATTATTATCAACTCAACCCGTGCGACTAATACAAACAAAGCGCCCCGTCATTAATAGCTTTTGTTGTTATGTCTATCGTCGCGCGTCTGACAATCTCGTGTGCTTCGGGGAATGCTGCTCTTCCTCTTCTAGGCTGAAACGTATAACGGAAAATCTTGTAAAAATCGCTGAGGATAAACGGTTATAGATTTTTGATCCAAATTTTGGCAGTAGGTGGCTCCTGGACCCAGCTATGTTATATCCGAAAAGTGTACCGATTGCTTCATTGCGAACCCCATAAACCGCAAAAGTTTGCCAGCACCCCTTGGGTGCTTCGATTTTAATGATTTTTGAAGAATCAGATACTTTAGCTTATGGGCTATGGCTAGACCGAATCTCATGCGATTCGGAAAATTCTTTTATATAGAAATCATTTAACGAAATACAATTTAAATCTTGCATTTGCTGTAAACAAAATACTATGCTCTTTTCGCTTTGGCTTTATCGCACGCGGGCGCTTTGCCGCCTTGCCGCTAGGAACGAATGATAGAGGAGAGCAGACGCATACGTAGACGGAGAAGGAGAGAGCGTTGTCTGATAGTTGTCGGCGCTTTCTGGTTTGCCATTCATTCAATGTGGGGAGAGGATGACTGGCTGGGAGTGACAACATGTGCTCTGCTCTCAGAGCGTAATAGAAATTAATAAAAGAGCGGTCAAAGCTATAGAGTTTGGGTTGAAGGCCCCGGATATAATAAATTCTGTTTGGTTTGCACTTCCCATCAGCCGTCTAATTATATTTTATGAAGAACTTGAAGCACTATATTTTTCTAATCAGACCCCAGATATAGTTAGACTATGACTAGGAGAATTTCGTTCTACTTTCAATGCCATATATTGCTAGTCATTACTGCCTAAAGTTAAGGGTCCTTCAACTTTCCCCATACGATTTCTCTAAATGTTCAAGACTGTTAAACTCTGAATCTAAGCTGAAGGTTTTGTTTGTAGATTATAAAAGTTAAGTCAATCCTAAAGACAGGACTTACGGACGTGATACCCTGCCAATCTTTTACATGATTAAGCATCCTTACATGATTAAAATCTACAGATTCTATAGCTTGAGTTAACAAGAAATTCACTTCTTGCTCGATCGGATCATAGACTCAATGAGGGAACATTAGCCATATGACCCAGCAAAAACGTTATCATCCTGTTTCGAAATCATTATATGACTACCAAATGTTTATCATCCCAGATTAGGCAGCAAGCTACATACATATGTAAGCTGTTGTTTTTCTCAATTTACCTAGGATCAAGCTGAATAATATTATCACGTAGGCCAAAAAAAGGTTGCTTTATCGGTCGAATGCAAGCAATAAATGAGAAGCAAGAGCCAAAAATAAATAAATTCCATTTGAGATAATTTTTTTATTATAAAATATTTGTATATTTAATATTTGTTTCAATACTCCTAGATCTACATAATACGCATTTTGTTTTGAACGAGCAAAAAATGAAAAAAAGCTGATTTTAAAGTATACCCCCCTTATGTGTACGATTTTAGCTTAACATCTATGCAGAGACGTCCATGTCAGCAGTAGAGACCCTGGCCCTCGTTCTGCTCTACGTGATAGTTGCAGTATTGACGCTGAGTGGGCGTAAGTCCGAATGTATCCACCTCCGTTTTGAACTGCTCCATGCCCCCGACACCAGCCAGATAGCCATTCAGTTTGGTGGCCACATAGCTGCTCTGCAACAGCGTGGGGCTGAGATTGAGAGAGGTGGCCAGATCCTTGTGGCCCTGCAATCTGTACTTTTGGTGATAGCTATTGGAAATCAGAATGAGGATTAGTATTGACGGAGATGGTTTCCGATTGAATAAACTTACGCTTCGGCCGCATAAAAGTTCGCCTTGGGTGCCACCTCAGTGGTAATGACCTCGGGAGCCCGACGCTCCTGCTCCTCCAGCTTGGAGGTCTCGGCGATTTGCTTCTGCTCATCATCGTGGTAGAGAATCAAGGAGGCGTACTGACGCTTGATGGGTGTAGTCAGGCCATACTCATGGTTGTTCCAGAACAAGTCCAACAGCTCCTTGAAGCTGATCACTGTGGGATCGTAGTCAATTTCCAGAACCTCCGTGTGATCGCCCCTGTTGAAATTCGTGGGTTAGTAAGGCGTCGGAAAGTGGTAGATAGATATAGAAGACGGGATGGGTGTGTGCGAAGAAAAGAAATGCTCGGGTTAGAATGATTAATGTTCAGTTTCTCTAAGCTTACATTTTACGGTACGTTGGTAATTCGGATTTGCCGCCGGCATAGCCCACAGTGGTCCTCAGCACGCCCCGGGTGGCTCCATACAGGGATTCGGCCCCCCAGAAGCAGCCCATCCCGAAGGTGGCTGTTGCCTTGGGAATGTTAACATGATGTACGGGCGATATGCTCAGCTCCTTTTGTTCATTGCGAACAGTGCTCTGCAGGTTGTCGATGAAAAAGAAGAGAAGAGTGAGTAATCATTTAAATCAAATTAAATTTCATTGCTTTGTAGGTCACACCAAGAACAGAAATGTGAGACCGTAACCGAATCCCGGCAAGCAGCGCATTTTGCAACAAAAACATAAAAAATCCACACTTGGCAATTTTTACAATATCTCGTGTGTCTCTCTCATTAGCAA